ATTAATACATGGACCAACTTTGGGCTGTACAAAATATAGTGTAATTTGCATTTTGTAACTAGTTTACAGGATAATTTTTACACAAAGGGAATACTTGTCTATTTTCTCGAATCCATAACTTGTAATTACATAGAAAAGCTTTTATTTTAATGTAAGGAGTCAGAAAGCTTTCACTTTAGAGTGGTTTATGGTCAAAAGGCTTTCCCACTCCATACAATAAAACCTTTATCATTTTCTAAAAACATGTTTCCACAATTTTTTGTTTATTCAAAATATTTGGTGATCATTCCATGTAAGTTATACTGCCAAAACAGAAATTTTCATTTTAGGATAAAGCATCACCTGCAGTAGAGTCACATGCATTTGGGATTTGTAAATGCTCCTAATGTTATTTATTTGTAAATTGTTCAGAATAAAAGAGGTTATTTCTTTGAAATTGGACATTTCTGTGTCAACAATGAACAACTATATATCACTTTATTACCATGTTATTTATGTACAAAATATTCTCATTTTAAAAAGCATAATAAAATGTCTTCAAAAAAAGAATAAAAACTAAATTGAAATTGTTGTGCTTTTGTTTTTTAGGAAGCCAAGATTGTGAATTACACCAGGATACCTTTAGGAAAATGAATATTGACCAAGGCAGGGCCAAGCAATGTTTTGTACAAGTTAAAACCCATTTCATTATTACCCAGAATGCACAAGGCAGATTATAATATCTCCACCTGGTGGTTATATTATTAGAGTCACTGCATTATTGCAAATAGTTACAGAAGTAATTGTTACATGATGCAGATTACCAAATTGGTGACAAACTGGTTACAAAAATGGAAGCCATAGTGATCGTTGTCATGACAACTTGTGGCCATGGAGTAGCAATCAAATGAACAGAATAGGTTGATATGAACAATTTACGAAACAATCCTTTTATAATATCTCTATTTGGTAATTGGGATAAATATTAATGGGAACGTCATGTCAGGTAATAGGAAAGACTCTGATGACGCAATATCATGTAATGCCATGTGACATTATCTAAGTTATCAAAAAACACACACCCAAAAGAAATTTGAGGATTTGAATTACACAATCAAGAGATTCATGTCACAAAAATAGACTTCAGCTTTCCTATTATTCAAGGAATAAAGACTGAGATTATATGATTAATGGCATAATATATGACAGAAACTTATTCTGTTCATAGTTTAAAGTTTGACACATAACGTTCAGCAAATCGAACGCTCGTTTCTTGTGTTGCTCACCGTTAAGTATAAGAGACCCGATCCGGGGAACAATACTCAAGGGTTAACAGACTCGAGGTTGTTGTGTGAATGCCTCTAACTGTTATATAGCATTAGAATGCTATAGATTGTCACACATTCATAAAAGGGAGAATTTTATTTTGAAAAATCAATTTCACATTTATGGGTGAAGTTTCGGGATCTTCTATTTGTGTATTATGAATATGGAAAAATTGACATCTAAAGGTCTATGTGAAGTATGGCAAGTGATTTTAGACGGTCATATCTTTCACCATAATAACTTTCTGGGCATAAATACAGTGGTTTTTATTAAAACAGTATGTTTTCTTTCAAGTGAAGTCCCCATGATGATAAAAATATCAATCAAACAATTCGAAAAATTGTAAATAGGAACCCCATGTCAACAATTTTTTCAAAATGTTGAACTTATTTGCTCAAAAGAGGATCTTCTTTTTCTGATTTTTATTGCATGAAAAACATATTTATCAAGGGGACTAAAACATCTCCAAAAGTAGAATGGTATTGAAAGTCTACTTTAAAAGATATCAATTTTCGATGACCAAAATCATGCTGAAAACAATGGATAGCATGAGTTTTCCCTATGGGAAAATAACATGGGAAATGTGTTTTTAACTGTATTGCATTTCAATACCCATCCCCTTTTCAGAAGTTATTAATATAGTGTAAAAGAAGCTTTTGATATATTTAAATCGAGAAAAACAAGATCCTCTTTTTAGAAAATAAGCCTTACATTTTTTAAAAAATGACAAGGTGGGGTCCTACTCCATAATTTTTCAGAGAGTTGGATTGATATTTTACTGTCATAGGGACTTCACTTGAAAGAAAACATATTGTTTTCATAAAAACCACTGTATTTACACCCAGAAAGTACAGCATGGTGAAAGATATGACTGTCTAAAATCACTTGCCATACTGCACATGGACTTTTCCCCATAGTTAACGTATTAGTACACAGCTTGAACTAATATGAAATATCCTCCTAATGAAACAAAGTAGTTCTAATGCAAGGATTTATATTGGCTGTTGTACATGAATTCTTTGAACAATCACTTTCTCAATAATGTTTTCAGAATCATTATGAACGGATTACTTTATCTCCAAGAGAATTTCAATTAACTGGATATACAAATCTCCCCTTATTTCTTAAGAATGGACTGATCCAGTTGACTCGCCTGGAGCCGCCATATTGTTTTTATACGGGAAGCTTATCGGAACCCTTTTTAAAGACCAAAATTGCATCGCGATTGAGTTTTGGCATTTGTTTAGTAAAATCTGAGGCCATATATTTGCCATAATTTATAGAATCGAGGTCTTTGTTGCCATTCTAATATGATAAACAGACAAGAAAACAACTATCTGCATTCATGAAATTTAGCAGTAAAACATACTCGATTATAGACCAGTAAATCTAGATATTGTGATGTGACATATCATATTAGTGACTATTAATTTTACTTATTGTTTAATGTTTTCCTCTTTATATAGCCATCATGACCTTGTAGTGACATACCTTTCAATTGTTAGTATATTAGTTTTAATTAAATTAACATGATAACCATACTTTTCATATAAGTAAATTTCAGACACTTAAGTATTGTAAATATTGACCAGAATCAGCTTTTTAAAGAACATTTCAATAACTTTCACTGCAGTAAATAAACTCGGATAAACGCAATATAATTATTGCCTTTTCAACTTGATGGGAAGTGCACCTTTTCATTTTTTGTTTCAGAGACATAATCCTTTTAAGTTTATGTATATGCAATGACTTCCAAAGTGATATCACTTCCAGTATTTCCAATTAATTCAGCTCCAAAAGTTTATTCTGGATTAGAGGTATATTCTTAGATTTATAGTCAAAAGGCATTTGCAGGGCTTTCATTATAGCAATGTGCAATTATGTACTATTGTTTTAACATATAATTACCTTTTGGAAGAAGATAGCAATGTGATCTACTGTACAGTACATTCAATTTCTGTATAATATAGCCATACTAGAAGAGATCTCCTAGTTCTTTTAATAATTTGAAATTCTTGCATTAGGTTGCCATTTTGAATTTATAAAGCCTGAATCAGAAAAAATAATACAATAATTTTGATCTACTCTAAAAAAACTTTGATATAAGTATAATATAACCATACGATGGGGAGTTTCACTATATTCCATTCAAACTTAGTTTGTTGGGATAACACTTTATCGCTACCAAACTTTTTAGGGATAATTATCATTTCCAATAATGTATCACCTGGTTGTTATGCTTTGTCAGATCATTCCAATGAATCCCCAATATGAATTCATGATGAATGGGTGAAGGTCTTGTGTGTTAATGTTGTGCTATACAGGTACAGTTAAACACAAAGTGGAACACTTTTGGTACCTCTAATGAGTGTTCCATCTAGAAGGTGTTCCACTTACAGAGGTTCATTAGCATTTAGTCAGTTGGTCTTGGGACTCTCAAATGTGTTCCACTAACAGAGCTAAAGGTGTTCCACTTTATAAGTTTCACTGTACTTGTGAAAAATGATGTTTACTTTGGGGTCTACAAGGGATGCAGGAAGTGCCAGATTTTTCAAATATGTAGTCTTGGATCAAGCCCCTGTCCCATTCTCCCTTAGACCTTGCAGCAACAATAACCCTGTACTCCCCAATTCTTCACCTAAATGAGCTATGGAGAATGGGAGGGGCACAGTGGCACGATTCAAGACTAACAAATAATTTTGAAGCTTAGTCTTGAATGAATCCCCTGTCCCATTCTCCCTTACACCTTGCAGCAACAATAACCCTGCACTCCCCAATTCTTCACCTAACTGAGCTATGGAGAATGGGAGGGGCACAATGGCACGATTCAAGACTAACAAATAATTTTGAAGCCAAGTCTTGAATGAATCCCCTGTCCCATTCTCCCTTACACCTTGCAGCAACAATAACCCTGTACTCCCCAATTCTTCACCTAAATAAGCTATGGAGAATGGGAGGAGCACAATGGCACGATTCAAGACTAACAAATAATTTTGAAGCTATGTCTTGAATGAATCCGCTGTCCCATTCTCTCTTACACCTTGCAGCAACAATAACCCTGTACTCCCCAATTCTTCACCTAACTGAGCTATGGAGAATGGGAGGGGCACAATTCAAGACTAACAAATAATTTTGAAGCTATGTCTTGAATGAATCCGCTGTCCCATTCTCTCTTACACCTTGCAGCAACAATAACCCTGTACTCCCCAATTCTTCACCTAACTGAGCTATGGAGAATGGGAGGGGCACAATTCAAGACTAACAAATAATTTTGAAGCTATTTCTAATGAATCCCCTGTCCCATTCTCTCTTACAGCTTGCAGCAACAACCCCCTGATCTTCCCAATATTTCACCTATCTGAGCTATGGAGAATGGGAGGGGCGCAATGGCTCGATTCAAGACTACAAGACTAATAAATAATTTTGAAGCTATTTCTAATGAATCCCCTGTCCCATTCTCTCTTACACCTTCCAGCAACAACCCCCTGATCTTCCCAATATTTCACCTATCTGAGCTATGGAGAATGGGAGGGGTGCAATGGCTCGATTCAAGACTACAAGACTAATAAATAATTTTGAAGCTATTTCTAATGAATCCCCTGTCCCATTCTCTCTTACACCTTGCAGCAACAACCCCCTGATCTCCCCAATTCTTCACCTATCTGAGCTTTGGAGAATGGGAAGGGTGCAATGGCTCGATTCAAGACTAATAAATAATTTTTGAAGCTTGAAAGAATATCCATACTTTTCTATCAACAACCTTTATTTGCACATGTCATCATTATTAATTAAAATAAAATAGTTTTAACATTTGATAGCTTTTACAATGATGTTAGTCAACAGTCAACAATGAACTTTGAAACATTACCTAAGTCCCTTACTCTACTGCACTTACCTACCAGGGCACATTGAATCCCTTAATATCAATTTTGACAGTTCATGATGTAATCTTTTTTGGAATATTGCAACTCAAATAAATTAAGCATTATGCCTGATTCTTCAGTATTGTTATTCATATATCACAGGCTTTCACTTTGACCTCAATAGAGGGCTCCATTGTCCATGTGTCTTTAATTGCACTGTTGCCGAGGTAACCGCTACAGGTGGCGGCCATTTTGAAGTAACCTGCCTCACAGAGGATAAATGAACAAGCGTGGTTCACAGTGGAGTTTCCTTCAATCTGGAAATATAATATACACTTTAAATATATGATTTTGATTAAATGATTTAATCTCAGGACTCAATAAAGTCATGATAATTTTAAGCACAAGGGTCTTGCATGCGACTATAAATGAGGGTGAGAGCCAAAATTCAAAGCCTAGCATACAAGACACAGTATACAAATCACCCACAGTACATTGAGTCATGTGCTTAGATTGTTTTCCGAATTTAACCAGAAACATTTTTGCAAGGGTTTTTCAAAGTCAACATTATGACCTGCATATGCACCTACTTGGCCTTTATGATACTACAATAAAACCTGTCTGTTACAAACACAATGGGACTGCCAAAAAGTGTTTGGATTAGGAGGTGTTCAATTTGAGGTCAATCAGCAGGACTGTGGATTTTGAAGAAATGTAAACAATTTTCACAAGTTTGATTGGCTAGTTTTATGGCATTCCAATAATTTGAAAAGATTCAAATGAATTTGTTAGTCATGTAAGAAAGATACATTATGATTGAGACAATTCACACCACTGATGTGTTCAGATATACAGGTTTTACAGGTTTACTGTATTTATAGTTTTTCACTCAACTGCCAAATTGAAACTATGAAATTTTAAAACCAACCTGTTTGAAGAAATGTGAAGGGGAGCCACCAGGGATAATGCCACTACAACTGGCATCCTTTCCCTCCATCTGACAGTCTTGTAGGCACTTTAGGCATACAACACACTCCTGTATTGAGCAATCTACAAATAAATAATATCTCATAACACACAAATTCGAATTTCAAAATCCAAAGGATAGAGGTTCAGGCAGTAAATTGGCTTGAATTGGCAGTGTTTAATTTGGTGAATTTACCATTTTTGAGTGATTGAGGGGTTCAACAGTCAACAATGAACTTTGAAACATTACCTAAGTCCCTTACTCTACTGCACTTACCTACCAGGGCACATTGAATCCCTTAATATCAATTTTGACAGTTCATGATGTAATCTTTTTTGGAATATTGCAACTCAAATAAATTAAGCATTATGCCTGATTCTTCAGTATTGTTATTCATATATCACAGGCTTTCACTTTGACCTCAATAGAGGGCTCCATTGTCCATGTGTCTTTAATTGCACTGTTGCCGAGGTAACCGCTACAGGTGGCGGCCATTTTGAAGTTCGAATTTCAAATTGAGGGGTTCAGATTCAACGGATATATAGAGGTTCAGACTGTAAATTGGTTTGAATTGGCAGTGTTTAATTTGGTGAATTTGCCATTTTCGAGTGATTGAGGGGTTCCGATTCAACGGATATATAGAGGTTCAGACTGTAAATTGGTTTGAATTGTTTAATTTGGTGAATATACCATTTTCAGAAGATTGATAGGGTTGTATTTGCTCACCTGCTGAGTTGATGAGGTCGACTTCAATGTTAACTAGGTCACCTACAGTGAACTGATGTCTCACACCTTCTTCATGGGGTGTACCATTCACTCTCACATCTACAACATAAAATTGAATTATATATATTATATATAAAATGTAAAAATATAAATAGATATAAATTGTAATACAATTCTAGAAATCTATGAGTTAATTTATCATTTTTCAAGATATTTAATGTGACATTAAAGACTTTGAACAGTGAGAGGGAGATGATGTTACTTAAAATATGAACTTAAATATTTTATCCTGGTTCAATGTTGCTGAATGTGAGAGTAAGACTTTGTTAGATTACAGTTTCACAAGACTCAGTCCCCTAGTTTGCTAGAAAGGATATTTACCCCATTATCACTAATGTTTTGCAATCTTGGCAATTGTAACTGATATATGTTATATTAGATATAAAATGATAACATGGAAAAGTAATATTTACCCCATTGAACAGGTGGTAGTTGTATGAGGGAGATCTGATCCTGGGTCCACTCAAGATGGTCCAAGTGCAGCACCCCACTAGTATTATTGCATGACTGCATCAGTTAAGGTAAATTACGTGTACATTTAATAGACCTTTTTATGGATAACTGGTTTTAGCAGTGACAACCTGGGGGTCATTAACAGAAACTTAGTAAAGTTACGAATTCGTAAATCAATTGTTGTAACCATGGATATAATGACGTCACAGTTAGAGAACAATGGGTTTTGCGAATTCTTAACTTTATGAAGCTTCTGTTAAAGGGTGACGCATATCGTTTAGCAAATCGAACGCTCGTTTCTGGTGTTGCTCACCGTTTAGTATAAAAGGCCCGATCCCGGAATAATACTCAAGGGTTCACAGGCTCGAGGTCGTTGTGTCAACACCTCTAACTGTTATATAGCATAAGTATATTATAAATCGTCACATATTTATAAAACGGTGATTTTTATTTTGACAAATCAATTCCACATTTATGGGTGAAGTTTCAGGATCTTCTATTTGTGTATAATAAGGAAAAATTGACATTTTTTCCCCATAACGTAATAGCACACAGCTTGGTATATGAAATATCCTACAAATGAAACAAAGCAGTTCTAATACAAGGATTTATATTGGCTGTTGTACATATTCTTTGAACGCAATCACTCTATGGATAATGTTTTCAAAATCATTATAATCGGATTACTTTATCTCAAAGACAATTTCAATAAACTGGATTTTACAGAACTCCCCTTATTTCTTAAAAATGGACTGATCCAGTCGATTCGCCTGGAGCCGCCATATTGTTTTTATACGGGATGCTTATCGGAACCCTTTAATGGCCCCCAGGTGACTAGGGTTAATTGTTGGAAGTGGATGAGAGACAAGGCATTAACATGCAAAATGTCACCACCTGCCATATGTTACAGACGCTGAACACCAACCACCAAACATCAACCATTGAAAACCAAACACTGAACACCACCTACATAAATTGACACAAAGAAGCATGAACTAGCTAATATTTAACAAATGATCTTTTGCTGTTTAAGTGTAAAATAAAAATACTCTCATATCTATTTCTAAAAACTAGATTTTAAATGACTATGAGACATTCATTTGACAAAATGTGCGACAACTGGTTCAGGCAAAAATGGTGATGGTCACAAAAATGGTGGCTAATATAGGGGAAGTCGTCCTATCAGCGCACGGTTACTCAGGGAAACTAGTGAGCATTTCTTCTAAAATTTAAGTAGTGTTTGATATTTCTCAATCTCCGAACGCTAACACTTTAAGACCCCTTAGACTCACATGTGGGGTGGTCCTAATTATCGCACAGTCGTCCTAATTATCGCACAGTTGTGTTTCAGATGTCATTTCACGATACTGTATACATTTCTCTGTTTATAACAGATACACACATATGCTATAATGATTTTTCTATCGGTTTTAGTGTAAAATATCAACAAAATATCCATTATACACTTTCTTTTCTGTCTTTATTTGGAGGGGGTCAAACTTTGTCAGACGAATTTCACTTCTTGCGCAATAGCATTTATGACAATAGCGGAAGTAAACAATTCTTAAAAAAGAAGAGATATTTCTAAATATATGAATAAATCATGAAGATTGGGAGTAATTGTGTTGAACTGTTTTTCGTAACACTGGTTTAAGAGACGGTGGGTGCATATTTTAGCTATTTACACAGATCCGGAGCCAGATCCAGCCCCTATTGGTACTAGGCTCAAAGGATTTATAATTATTAGTATATTTATTGAGCCTAGACACAGAGGAGGTAATCTAGCAGAGGTCCGTGGCTATTTAGGACAATCATGTGATAATTAGGACCGTGCGATAATTAGGACCATTTCCCCTATGTAATTGTTACCATGTTTTTCTTCTAGAAAAGGATACAATAAGCCACCTAATATTGACTAGTTCTGCTATTTGCTGTGAAACAGAAGTGTTAAACTGTGATGCTACATTCGAATGAGCTAAAGAGATGGCAGACTGTACAGATAGACCAGATGTTGAGGAAGTGTGCATGTCACTATGTATGGGCGACCCTGAACTGTCATTGAATTGCACTAACATACACCTCTCTATCAGCAGGCTCAACCTGAAATAAAACATACAGGTAAATATGACACTTATATAGTATGCATGTACAATATACACCTTCTCTACGTCAATAGCCTTGTTTCAGCTTATTATTCTTTAGTTATAAAAGGCACTCATATGGTGAGTCTGTATACTGCAGAAAATGTGATTCCTCCAAAACGGACTAAAGTGAGAGACATGACCAGTTGTGTAAACCACTTAAAGTGGATATGGACAGCCAGACAGATGAGTAGGTGATTCCATAGGACAATGTGAGAGTCACAAACCATGGAGTTTTCAAAAATGTTGCCATTCATGCCATTCTGCAGTTCTGTAATTAGAAGGTACTAACTCCTCAACTGAGAATTGAACTTACAGGTAGGAAACATTTCCTGAATGGTGCGGGAGAGGAGTTTCAGACAGTGTTTGTTTGTATGTGTTAGATCATAGTTACTACTTTACTAGATGTGCTGATTTTTGTATTTTTTGTAATATTCTTTAGTCTTTCCCCTTTGAGCACTTGTGGTGATAGATTCATTTATTCGAGAGAATTTCTATTTTCAGAATCTTATTTCCTTTTTAATTATGATTATTACCATACCTTCCTGTTTGTCCGCTTTGTAACACTATACTCTTCATGTCATAGAAGATAATCACTTCCTCACTGGTAGCATTCGTAAGGGAGACAAACAGGTTACATCGCCTGGAACTAAATGGAAGAAGGAAATAGATTTTTGTTAATAATTTGTTATTCACGATACTCAACTTATGTAATACTTTGTGAACATTCAACACTATAAGGTCAAATAATATAAATGCAAAACATATTTCATTTTCTCTGAACAAACTAAACAAGGCATTAGCATACAAAATGTCACTACCTGCCATTTGTTACAGAACACCAACCACCAAACACTGTCCACAAAAATATTGGAGACTATATAATATGTCACCACTTCTAATGGCGACATAAAAACGAATCGAATAATAAATAAAATAAAATTACTTTCTTTCATAAAAGAAAGAATATTTTGAATTTACATTAATAATGTTGACAGTTTGTTACCTGTGTGGTGTGACATGGCATTCCTTTACAATAAGACATGGCTTGATCTCAATGTTGATAGAGACGGCACACTGCCTGCAGTAGCCTTCTACCATCCCCTCTCCCCCACTGTATTTGAACTGTAGCAGACCTTCATAGTTCTGAAACACAAGTTCACTTCAGTTGAGAATATCCTAATATTTTAAGTCAATGCATGGCCTCAATGGAAATCATGTAATTTACAGCACTACACACAACCGTTTGTCATTTATAGGTGTTTTTTGCACTATAACTACTTAAAGCCATCTAACGTGGGCTGAAGATTTTCTCTTCTTTATTATTTGTTGTATACTAATATTGTATATTATTGTGTATTATTATTTGTTTTTCGGAATTTCAAGGTCGGAATTTTTATAAGGGCAGGTACATTGGTATCTCTGATATCAATATTTAATTGATAAATAATCATTTATTGATTTTGGGTATGACCACTCACATATCAGAATTCCTAGATTGAATGAACCAATGTTAATTTATGCCAATATACTACATTGCCAGACATTTTGAATCTAGATAACATTACATCATAGTTAAAGTCTATACATGTAAATATGCATACAGGGTGTCCAATAAATAAGGTGAAAGATATTGTAACTTTCCTAATATTGCACCAATCTTGATGAAATTTTCAAACCCATTCTTGCCCATTTCCTGAAGTCTCGCTAAGACATGTGATCTGAGTTCATCAGTGCTTCCAAATTTATTTCCTCTCAAGTCACGCTTGAGTTCTGCATATAAGTAAAACTCATTGGGTGCAAGTTCTGGGGAATATGGAGGGTGTGCAAGTAGGGGAAGCCCCAGTGCCCTAATAGTTTCACTAGTGAGCATAGCTGTGTGTGAACCCAGATCACATGTCTTAGCAAGGAAATAGGCAGGAAGTGGGCAAAAATTGGTTTGAAAGTGTGTTTAGAGAGTGGGTGAATAGGCATAAGAGTGTATAGCTAGAGATGGATATTATGTTGAATAGCTTATTTTCATAACAATGGGACTTTAGGACTGTTTTTATATTGTATTTGTGGTAGTAATAGACCTGGGAGTACGAATAAAGCTATCAGAAAGAATAATAAATATGTTTTGGTAAGTTGTGACGTAAACAAACTTGCCCCGCCTTTTTGTTGTATCGGTTGCTATAGCAACCACAACTCTGGCCAATCAAATAGAAGATGCTTTAAATTCACAGAATAAAGGTAAAAAGGTTTGGGCTACAAACCCTGAAAATTTCATCAAGATTAGTGCAACATTAAGAAAGTTACAATATCTTTCACCTTATTTATTGGACACCCTGTATGTAGTGCATGCATTTCTATAACAAAGTTACCAAAACAATTTCCTCACCATAGTTTTGTTCTGGTCTGCTGCATTATTATGTGATACTACAGGTTGGTCTGAAAAATGAGAAACTCTCTTAATGAAAAAACATAGCATCCATTACATTTTACGCAAGGCTCTTCACAACTATGTTAATTTTAAATGTATCAATTTAATGAAAACAATAACATATAAACAAACATTTATTTGAAATATTTTAATGAATTTCTTCAATATCAAACAGTAAAGAGAGAGTGTTTCTATGTTGAAGAACTACCTACTTTGTATAAATTGTTTCTGCCCAATGTCAACATGCATATTATGCAGACCATGCATGTACACAGTGAATGCTGCTTGGTTATCTTTCTCTATGGGCAATTGTGACTGCAAATTCTCATGGTTCCATACTAGCACCTTATCTAAACTATCTGAAATGAAGTGACAATATTCTTTAGATTTATCTTTTACAATCGAATATACATTTAAGGGTCAAAGCAAACATTTGTCATAACTGTATAGTCATTGAGAAATCATTTTGAGATGAAAACCACTTTAGGTTAAAATGAAACCAATTTACATAGTCTTGTATTAAGTTCAAAACCGTTCCAATCTCGGAAGAGGATAACAAGGAGCTGGGGACTGGCCAGAGACTAATGCAATTGACCATATTCAAGAGTAAAATAAATAAAAAAGTTTTCAATGTTTTTGGTTTTTAGTGCAATTGGTTTTTGTTCCTTTTTACCAATTCTTGAGAATGAAATAAAATATCTTTCCGAAGCTTGCTGGAACAAAATTAAGAAATATAGACTGAAGGGCAGGGGTAATATTGTTGAATACACCCCACAGGGCTAGGCACAAACGTTTTCTGTACCCTGAATGACCGAAGGGAGTGAGGGGTTCGAAAGCTTTTGTGCCTAGCCCTAAGGGGTGTATTCGACAATATTACACCTGCTATTGAGGTTTATATTACGATTCGAACATGAAAACTCACCAAAATGTTTTGAATATTCATTACATTCTGCCATTACTACGGCATGCCGTTATGATGTCACACATTACACATATTACCAGGGGTATTCTTCACGAATATACCCCGGGTGAAATGTTGACTTTGTTAACAGTTTATAGAAGACGTGAATACAGTCATGTTTGCATTTGCGAGGATTTTGTATCAAAAATCTAAATTTGCGCAAAATCTGCGAAGAGAGCATTCAAGAAGCTAATAAAATATTTTGTTTTTGCAATTTTATGCATTTTGCGATAGACTTGCTAACCTTTACTGCAAGATGATTCTAAATGTAAGTCCACACTCTCCACTGTCTCATTCCCAACATTCTTCAATGTGATTTGGCACTCTTTACTAAAACATAAATCAAATAAATACATGTTAATTATCAATGACAAAAGTTGAGTTGCAAAAATATGGTGGCTGTAATTTGTTAGCTTCTTTGATGAAAACATTCTAATTTGTGTACTACATTGTGATTGTGTTTCACACCAATATGGCACAATCTTCATATTATTATATAAGTTCCATGTTGATAATTGTGTAAATTATGGCAATTATATTGTGTATCATCAATAACAATATGAAGTACATCCTTACAGCTAAACTATTGATAACATCAAAATCACAATATTGATGTTATACAGATCTTGGGAACAAGAACACATCAAATTAAACTCAATTATCATTAAGTCTTACGTGTTATGTTTTATTCAGTTGAGTTATCTATGAAAAAGAGTGTACTTTCCAAAAAGATAATGCATACCTCTCTCCCATATACAGTACAACACTTGTACTTGATACTATATTGGCTGATCCCCTACAACTACTGAAACTACCAGACTTTGGTAGAGATGACATGACTTGTACACGAGGGAGAGGTGGAATGATGTTGATGTTGTAATAGGGATATTTAAGATGTGAAAGACTTCTGAGTCGGCAGTTACTTTTCACACCAAACACATGTGTGGTGTAGCCTAAAAGAAGAATTAAAATTCAATATGTATGAAGGGTATTGTACTTATTTGCGTAATTTTTGACTATTTTAAATAATCAGTTACCTAAATATAACACCTTCCTCGGTACATCATTTCAGAGCACCTTTAGCCAATTTTGTAAAAATTTGCCACAAACATATGTATTGTATTGTATTGTAAAATCACAAACATTTGCCATCAACATTTTGAAATGGAGCTATTTTAAAACTACGTAAAATTTTACATGTTAGTTATAAATTCATTATACATAGACATGAGACATACCAACAAGTTTTAACTCTCCATTCTCTCTAGGTGTCCCTAGTATTTTCACAGGGTAGGGACCACTCTCAGGGGGTAAGGTCATGCTGGCAGGAAAACATTCAAATGCTACTACATCAGTCATTAAACCCTATAAAACATAGAAACCATGAAGTAAACTCCACTAGGAACGTAAATTAAATTCATAGGAGACATAAATGAAATAGAAAAGATATCAAAGATTAATTTACTTAATCATACATAAATCATGTAGAGATATCACTCACTTTAGCAAGTACTTATAATAATATGTAGAGCTTATAACATGGATGCAAGTTGAGAAATCTTTTAATGTTAAAGAACTGTCATTGCTCACTGAAGTACGGTGTGCTCATCATACAAGTACAATCAGGGCTGATTAGATAGTTTCCACAAACGTTTGTCTGTACATAAAGGAGACTGGCCAAAAATTCAAACAAAAGCCTCCATCTTTACATACCAAGCTGGTGACTTTCAGCTCAGTTGGCATTGGGTTGTAGACCTGTAGACAAACCTCACAGACATCCCCTTCCACCCACTGGAAGTCTACAAAAACAATTCAGAAGTTTTCAAATGTTGTTTTGTATGTATACAAATTGTATTCGCCTTTGAAGTCATATGTTTACTTAATACATTAGAAAGTTGAGAAAAGGACTGACACAAATACACTTATAAGTTCATCATTTATACCAGAGGTTACATATGTCGAGCACAACACAAAATAAGTCCAAATTCCAGTTCAATATTTGACCACTTGGTGGAGACATAAACAGAATAATTGAAAGGAAATATTGTTTGTAGTGTTTTATTTATGTTTTTCACGACATTCCTCCAGAGATAGTAATATTTAGTTTATTACCTAAGTCTTCTTTTGAGGACAGATCTTCATGTTGGGATGATTGCGTAGAAAAGTTGATCGGTGAAAATATGAAAGGGTTATCTCCAAGTTTATTTATACTGGCTGATTGTTTCAGCTTCACTGGTCTCATGTGTGGGGCTAATGGCATCACTTCAAAATGTCTAAAATTACAAAATAAAAACAGCCTAATGTAATGTCCAAAACAGAAGAAGCTCTGAATGAGTTACAAAAATTTAAGTCCCGTAATTGCTCACTGAAAGATGGAGGACGAGGTGCTCATGACAAAAGTACAAGTCCTTAGTCCATAGTCCTTTTCCAATTTAAGCAAATTAGGTTCATCATTATAATCTAATAGAGAATTTGTTGTAAATAAGTCCCTGAATAAACTACTGAAAAAGGAAAATTATAACAAGGGACATCTGCAAAGGGACTACAAAATTCAAAAGAATTTAGATTTTACTCTATATTATCAGTATCAATCGGCTTATTCAACTATAAAGGACAAGTATGTGTACACGTACGAGTACATTAAATGCCACTCAGAAATATTAGAACTTTACTTGATAAAATATCTTTAACTTACTTGACAAGGGGGAACTTTGTGAGTGGAATGGCTGGTAGAATTGTTCCATTATCTAAGGCAAGGGGTTGAGCAGAACCTTCACATTTGGCTGGAAGCAGTAAAACAATATATATTTTGTTGAAGTTTTATCCACTGTGTTTTTTTATATGTTTCAATAACAGTGCGACCAAAAATTGTGAAATAGTGTGACATAATAATCAATAGGTTGCAGCACCGCCTAGTGAGTATATTCATTATGTTTTTAGGCTATTTAGATCTCAGTAAAATAACCAATCTGTTATTTATTAGCCGATGGGGCTAAAAGACACAAAACACATAAGGTTTCAATTTCAAGTTGATTCTATCCTATAAAGTGACATTAGGAAATATTATGATTATCACATACCTGTATATGACTCTAAGATGCTTGTGATTTCCTTCTTATCTTGTTCAGTTAGGGAGTCAAACATGCCATGGAGAAGGTGGGTGATATGTCTACAAAAAATGAACAAATGTGTATAACTTAATGTTACATTGGAATTGGCATGCCTCTTTTAAAGCTTACATACTTTGAGTGACACATTAAAAGAAAACAGATAAGCTGTCTCAGGGTTAATTGAAAATGTACAAGACCATTGGAAACTAAAACATTACTGCAAATCAGAAATGTAACAACTGTAAACCATCTCTTAACTTTCTTATGAGATAATTTCTGAGGCAACGAGGCTTTTTATACACGACAAAAGAATAAGTTATTAAAACTATTGCAAATGTAACATTTTGATAATGGCACCAGTCACAAATTCATGGCTATAACAATTGGTCACCAATTCTTGGTGATGACATAAGAAACAAGGCATTAACATGCAATATGTCACTTCCTACCATTTGTTACAGATGCCAACCACCGAACACCAACAATTAAACACCAACTGCCAAACACTGCACGAAAAATAGTTGGAGACTATAAAAATATGTCACCACTTGTGGTGATGACATACTAGACAGGAGGTATGAACATCCACAATACCTTATTGCAATAGCAGGGTTTCCCATCCTACGTGCAGAGTAGACTAGTTCATGTAGAACACGGAGCTGTATAACAGGCCAGCCACTTGGGTATGCTGTAAAACACAACAATGACTATTGACTGGTCCACAAAAGGATGATAATACTGGAGTTAGTATCAAGATGGTGGACAAAATTTGTTTGATATCGATGAACCTTCGATTTTAGCAAAACCAAGTAAATCTTGATTCGAAATATTTCGTCAATTGAAAAAATTTGAAAAACAAAATTATTGAAAAAATTTGAAAAAATCTAAACCATCTAATATCACTTTTGAAACTACTGAATATCACTGCTATTTGAGAAGTCATATTCGATGGTTTGAGAAGTGATGGTTTGGGGATATTTTGCTAAAATATGGTATCCTGATTCACATATCAAATATATCTTCACCTGATATTCGATCTATATCCTTGTAACCATGGAATAATATGATTAATTCTATTTCTATCAATTTTAACTTTGACATGTTTACCTCTGGGAAATTCACTGGGGTCAAGTGAGATTTTGTAACCATTAAGTGCCTGAAGAAGTAGATTATAACACTGGAGCCAGGCAGGTTTGGGATTAGATGGCGCCACACATTGCATGGCTGCGACACGCCGGAAAAAAGCTGCCTTGCGTTGAAATCCTATTTGGCTGTAGAGGGATGAGAGAGTACTGTATCTCTGAATCTACATGAATATAAAAAGAAGAATCATTTTCCTGATTTTTTAACAGTTAAGATCATATTTGTTTACTTGGAAAATGTACCAATTATTATAGGTATGTGTAAAATATGAAAATATACGCAGGCACTCTAGAATCACTTTTCTCATATTAAGTCAATGTTATTTCTCTCAAAGCAACGCATAGTCAATAGTCATTGAATTCTTTCACATTATCTGTTAACATGAAATATAAAGTATGGGGGTAAATTATGGAGTTCACTACCGTTAGTTAAGATGGGGGGGGGGGGGTGATTTTACCTTTTCCTCATCTGACTGTTGGATGTTGATGTAAACAACATTCTGAAGGAAATCAGATGCTTCTAGATATTTCTGAAAATAAATGTCAAATTAAAGCAATTCAGAAAACATAAAGTACAATATTTGAACATATTCACTGGAACACAGTCAATAAGAACTGTAAAACAAAACAGTTAATTTTGAATGTGACAAAGTAGATTTTTGAACTTTTTTTTAAAAATATTGTTATATAAATATTTCTGATTAAAGAATTGTGTGTAGCAATAATTTCTAACTTAAAAACATTTAGTTTCCATTTTCCTAAATTGCTATATAATATGTTACATACCAACTGTAAGATGAGCACCCTGCAAGCTTTTATACTGGCCTCCATCTCAATAATACCAGCTTGCTTGATCTGAAATGAAGAAAAAAAGATAATACAAAAATGACCATTTATGTATGTTTTCATGGTGAATTGAATGTTTTATTCCAGCTGCTGTGGAGTTGTATGCCGAGTACTAGTGAGAGGGCTAAAGTTATCAAACACAAGGGATATGTCATAGTTGTCAAAATTAGGAAATAAATACTTTTCATAAAAATTTCAGACAAAGACAAATTTTGGGCAAAGGGTGCAATTAAATGTGATTTACATCTTTTCGCAATGTAACTCCCACAGATCATGTGAATCCATTTAAAATCAAAGATTTTTGCATTCATATTTTGACAAGAACTAGGATAAGATGGGTTTTTGAATCCAGTTGAGAAGTGGAGGAAAGAACAGTGTGGTTTCTTACCTTACTGTAGTGGACAATGGCCTCTTTGTATTTGTCTATGATATCATCAGGCATGAGACAGTTCTTGGTTTTAGCATTGAAGCTGTCCAAACCATTTTGGGACTGGAGTGGGTTGGAACTTCTAGCTCTTATTGAACCTGGAGAGAATCATATACAAGCACAGTAAGATTAAAGTCATTTTGTTAAAGATAATGCTGATGCTTTGATGAGGTAAACTGAATTGAAACATACTGCTGTGTGCATATGATCCCTTAAGCTGTTTTCAGAATTTTGTTTTATTATGGCATTTTTATTGGAAATATAATTTACTGATTTATGTGTATGTTAAACATAATGGGCTTCATGATTATCAATTGATGTTGGAGAATCATTCATTAGATTAAACTGGACATTATCATACATGAATTGCTTCACAAGTCTCATTGAAAAAAATTCTTGGAAATACAAAAATGTCTTACTAGTATTATTGAGCATGTCTTACCTGGTGAAAATGTTGCTTTTTGCATTGCTGATATACCACGTCTGGTTGAGAAAGACAAATTGCGGGAAAAGGATGTTGGACGTTCTGTTCTGGGGTAGTTCACAATAACAGAGGCTGCACAAAGACCTTCATATGCAGCTAGAAACAGAACAAAATGTCATATAAACCTTTAAATACTTTCCGTTAATATTCATTAAATTTCATCTTAGATAAACAAGTTAGGTGCATCTACTGAAAAATAAATATGGGCTATTCCAGCAATTTTAAGCAAGAATATGGGAGACAACATTCGAATTTTATATAAACATAATACTAGAAGCAATAGCATAGTTTCGTATAAACAGACTAGAGTGAAAGTTCTATCCAAATGTTCATCATTTTTTGTCATTAACTCAAAATCATATCAATTCATCTCATCCAGTTGACCATCTCATCTCATTTCCTAAAATTGCAAGGATTTGTTTAAAATGTTTAATAAACAAAATATCCTGTACTAGTATATGTATGCTCATTGATAGCAACCTACCTGCAAGCCAGAGGGAGTCATTGACAGAGCGCAGAGAGTCTAGACATGTCTGATAGTGAAGAACAGCCTCAGCTGGGAGCCCTGCCAGGAGACATAGGTCACCGAGGTACTTCCTTAAACGCCCTTGGCATTTCTTCCTGTAGGACCTAGAATTGGAAATCAGTTATACAAGAACAGTTAACAGTGTATTTGCACTTCATATTCAGAATAATATGACAAAGAATCAAAACATCTAATATGTATCACTTAATAAAGCATGTTTAAAAGGGATGTAGTTAATATAAACATGAATACTACTATACCTGCTTTCTGTATCAATACCAACAAACTCCCTTCTCTCATAAGGTGCTGCAAGTAGTGGCATTCTCTCCAACTTCTCAGCAGATCGATCAAGCCTTTTGCTTTCAAGCACCCAGAATAAGGAAGATGCAAAATCTCGTATTTTGGCTTCAATATCAGAGCAGTCATCTACATGTGCATAGAACCAAACTTGTGTTTTTGAATTGATGCTACCACTTCCACTTGATGACCCTGTTGAGCTCCTTGACCTATCACCTGACCCTGAGTCTCCTTGACCTTGATCAGGGTCATCTTGATTTTCCAAAGTGTCAAGGTCATCAGATGAATCAGATTTTCCTAATTGACTGAGTGGATGAGAAGTCACTTCCAAACGATCACTAGACACCTGTTTTTTATCATTCTTGTCATCAGTTGTAAAGTTTGAGTTTTCATTGATAATATCACTATCTGAATAACTTGTTTTAACATTTTCAGTAGTTTTTTGAAAACCATTGTCATTGGTTTCAGTAGATATATTGCCACTGCTGTTGCTGACTGTTGATAAAGACCTTGGTTTAACTTCTAAATTCTCGTTTTCATTCTTGGGTAGAGCTTTTCCATCTTTTCCAAGACCAAATACCATGAGACGATGGTCAAACAATGTAGATTCATACTGCTTCTGAGTTCTATCATACATTGTGTACAAATATTCAAGTTCAGATTCAGAAGTACAATAGCCAACACAAATCAAGCCTAGAACTTTCCTATGGGCTTGAAAATCCCCCCAATCATTGTTATCTGGTGGGTATGCTTTCTTATAACGTAGCCATATGTTTCGAGCTTGTTCTTGAATTCTGACATGTTGTACTCTAGAGATGCGCTCATAGACTTTATTGAATGATCGTGATTTTAATTGTGTCCCAATATGTTTAACAAGAACTAAGAGGTTCTGGTGATCTTCCACTTTCTGACTGTAATCTGGAAAACTCATTGTGACCCTAAAAAGAACAAATATACATTTTACAATAGAAACCAAACATATGATATAACATTTAATAAAAGTCTTAATTTTTTATACATGTATGAATTCAACTCTGGTGATCGATATTACCCAACTGCTCTTACGGTCTAAAAAGTCTACATGTAAATATTAGCTTTGGTACAAAAACATAACATAGTCCATTTCAATAGGGTTGTGACATCAACAAAACCTAAAAAAAAAAGCAATCAAAAGACCAATTTGCAATATTATATAAAAATTAGTGGTCAGACTCGCCTGAAAATCTCCAATCGAGTGGGCCATGAAAAACCATGATTATATTCGCGATTTGACTTAGTTGAGTTACTTCCGGTTTCAGTTTCCCAAGTAGCGGCAGATTCATCAATTTGATCAAGTCTTTCAAGTGCCTCTATACTTTTTATTGTCTAAATCGTATTGCACATCCCTATTCCCGGCTGTTGGATATTGCATCAAACCGGAAATGAAACTTTTGCATAAAAATAACGAACCCAGAATAAAATCCAAGTATGTTTGTCTTCCGCACATGGCATTAAATAGAAAATAAGTTGTATTCTTTACAAATTAAGCAGAACATTACAACTATAAGCATGGAAATTGCGAATAGGAGAGACGAATCTCGACTCAAGGTAAGGTGAAAAATATTTTTTTGGTAAAAATTTCAAATCGTGAGTAAATTAGGGCATTTCAGCCATGTTAATTTTTTCCATAACATGGCAGAGAAGTATCAACATAAGAGGCCACACATAGCCAGACAGGCCCCAAGCAATCTACGATATACAAATGTTTTACAAATAAGATATGAATAATACAGTTTATTGTACTGTAGTCTTTTAATTGCTTATTTTTTAGGTTCAATTGATGTCACAACTGAACTAAATTAGACTGTAATTATGCTGCTTGAGATCGCCACATTTAAAATGTGGTGTACTCTAAAAAGCTTCAACTCATGGTGACTAATCATTTTGAATATTATTTAAAAATATTTGTGAGGAAAGTAAGTGTATCCGAATCGAAACATGAGCAATGTCAAAAGTGATTATACAGTGTAACACACTGTTTCATCTGGTATTACGATAAATGGGTCTGCCATATTGAAATACATCTAAATAGTTGAACTTTATCTCGCTTTTGGAAAACATCTGAAGGTGGCATCAACAAATGGAGACAAGGCATCATAATGCAAATTGTCAACAGCTGTCATTCGTTTCAGACGCTGAATGATGAACACCCAACCTGACACTAAATGTCACCACAACATTCTTAATGAAACTAAAACCCGGGACTTAACTCTCAAATAACAATGAATAGCAACCTATAGACGAGCAAAAGTGAGAATCAACAAATGCAAAAACGGCGGGAGACATGATGCAAGGCTGGAATACAGAGACAGCCTTGGAAGAAGTACACTGTACCCCCATAAATGTGTGCTCGGTTTGCGCTTTTTACTTCTGAAGGTAATGTGCAGTAAAAAACAGTATATCCTATGTATATCGTATAAACCGATACTTGTCACTCAGCTAAGACGAATCGATGCCTTTAAAGCTAACTTAGATTTATAAAAGTTCTGACCTTTTCTAAAAAATCTGAAAAATAAAAATACATGCACGGTAGAAAAATAACATTTTCATTCATATTCTGAGAAGCAAATCTACCATCGCTCAACAATAGTTTAGCACATATACCAACGGTTTATAATGAGTATACATCCAAATGCATCGTTTACTTACAATAAGCAAATTCGTCGAATATTTACCCAAGAAATTCACCAACCAACTTCCGCCATTTTTGTTTTTAATCTAAGGTCACGTGACTGAAAAAAGATTAAATCAAAGATTTCATAACGGTTCGTGTCATTCATTGAAGCATATGATAATATGAGTGTAGAACGAGAGATAAATCTACAGAAAGTTGTAAAGTTTGTAATTTTTGGTATTTCTTCAAGCCACAATTCTTTTTTTTCAATCGTGTAATTTTTTTTCTAACGAGCTGCAGCCATCTTTCTTTCTGAAATTTGGTAAGCAAATGGGTTTGTATTTTTCCAACTTTATGTCAACTTTACGTACTTCGGGGGTGGTTGAAACGTGTAGAATAGTTACCATTGACTGTTCGTAAAAGGTGATGCTACAGTGTACACATCTTAGCATTAGACTCTTGGCCTAGCAATCTGATTTTTAATTTTTTATTGAAAATTCAATATGAGCTCTTGTTGAATGCATAGGAGACAGGTTACCTGAAAAGAAAGATAGATATTATCTCTTATCTAAACAAGGACTGTCAGTGAGGCAAGCCTACCCTGGCTGAAATCAGCTCTGAAATAACAATTACTGCATGTCAAGCCGTCATTCAATGCTGATTTTGTAGAAAACAGATCTGTCCATCCTTCTACATGTGAGTTTTTCCCATAAAGATGCTTGATTAGTATAAATTCATCAAATTATACCCCTAGAATATCAAATTTCAACTGTACATCAACTGCGTGAGGAAAATAAACAAATCCATTCTTCACCTACTATTCACAAACGGTGACAAACCCCTTGGAAAAGTTGTCCCTCATTTGACTAACAGCAAATGTGTATGTTTATGCAGCAATATACATGTATGTTAGTTTAGAAAATGATTAATTACAATCTTACCTGTACTTCACAGAAACATCCTAAGTATGAAAATATTTAACTTAACTGTCTCCTATGGTTGAATGTAGGCCGATGAATAAAACCTAAAAAATAAGAGATTCAGAAAATCACAATCATTAGTCCCCACCTCGTTATAAAGACGTAATGTATTTATAGCAAAATGGAAGAAATTCCATTGGAGGATTTCTTTTTCATCAATTTCTCCAAGAAGTAGGTCGAGTTGTATCCACTAGAGTAGATTTCATGGCCTGACTGCGTCAGTAGAACTTGAAAAATAAGATTTACCTGAAGATTAGGAGTCTTACTTACCCTCTAGAGGTTAGAAGACACATTTCAATGAAACCCTATCACCTTTATTGCATCAACTTAGAGCATTTAGCACAATATCCAAGAGGTAAATTATGGACCGTGAAAATGAATGATTTCCTAGTAAGTTCCGGAAGTTTCAGTACGATAAATTACCGAACATTTGTGAAAATTGAATCTTTGTTCGTTTATTTTATAATTTACACGTGCGTGTATTCTTCCACACTTTGGTCTAAATTATAAAGCATCACGAACAGGTCCTAGTGTATTAATAGACTAATACAGCATTCATACTTTCCGCGCAGCATTTCATTCAGACCAATAGTTCAACTGTAGATCATGTAGTTTTTTCTATCTTAGAACAGGCCATCCTCTGCCCTGTCCTAAACTCGTCTGCAAAAGACCACAAAACATTCTTTTCTAATATTTTAATTATTTTTACATCAGACATGGTTGGATGACATGTCACAAAATTAAAGTTCAAGGTCAATACATTATTTCGTGATAGAGGCAACGCCGTCCCAAAAGTAAACACGAGGAAAATGGAAAAGTCCAAAAAGCATTAACACATGAAATCTACTCTAATACACTGTACTTCACCTGTATGTTAATGGTAACATCCAGTTACTGAAAAGTTAGCCAGGCACGAGAATATTTTTCCGGCAGCTCCAATAATCAAGTGAGAATCCTCACTTCAGCAACCAGGTCGTTCAGGATATATATTTTCAGGATTTCTTCATGTGTCGTTGAACTGGTAGACTATGACATCTGAAGACAAGGCAGAGTTACTAACTCAACTGCATGATTTCATATCTGCTGCAGAAGGCCAGCTGAGTCAAATACTTCACAGGGTAGGATGGGATAAAGAAACAACGTTCAAATCAAAGGTGAAGATAAACAAATTGAGTTAAGGCATTTTAATGATATAAACAAGTTTAACATAAATGTACATATACGAGGGTTGTCCCAGAAGTAATGCACTATATTCTCTAACTTCCTTTAATATGCTTCAATTCAGCTGAAATTTTGTGTATATTACAATTGAAGTTTTATCTAGTATATCCTGAAGTTTCAGCATCAAACATTAATATTAAGTCTTAATATGGTTGCTATAGCAACATGGGGGTAGGGGCCGGCGGGGCAGGTACCAACTTTTCTAATTATGAAAAGATCCAAAGTGTTATTTTATTAATATTTCTTTCTTTTAAATGATCAAAATGATTGGGAAATTGTTAAATTTATTCAGCTTGATGTTAACCAAGTACAAATAATGACATTTAGCACTGTGATGTCATAATACCACAGTTCAATAGTCACAAATTCAAATACAGTCACGGTCAAGAAATTGCAAAAATGGCTGCGATTCTCATCTGATAACAGAAGGCCTTGCGTTTGGTGACATACATTGTAATTTCATACTTCACTTGGACTCACAGCCACACAAAACTTATGCTACCATGAAGAAATTATATAAGGAGTATATACCAGATAGAACTACAATTATGAGGTGGCAGAAGAGATGACTGGACCCAGGATAACAACTCAAATCATGGGAGGCAAAAACTCCACAAATCACAGTGGAAGAAATTGCCAAGAGTGTTTGACCTGACAGGCATCAAAAGTACATAACATGCAAAGGGCAATATTTTGAGAAAATGTGAAATGGGACGCTGTGCAATATACATTGATTTAAATCTAGGATGTGCTCATAGTAATTTAGTATCTTATAATGTAATTTTGAGCATACATCTTATAGCTACACAAAATGGTATTTGTTGATTAATTATTTCATATTTTCAATTTTTTATTCCTTTTGACGTGACTGTATAACCTGCCCCACCCTACCCAAACACACCAACTTAATTTTATTATAACATCAATATAGTTTTATAAGTCAACATGAAAATTTGTAGAATAATCAAAATGTCTCTAAGGAACATTTACTGAAAATTTCATGGAAAAATATCAATTATTGATAAAGTTAGAGCATATAGTGCATTACTTCTGGGACAACCCTCGTATATGTACTTCTCAGTAAATAGTCTTCTTAACCGTAGGCTTTTATATTTTCACATGCCTTTAAGTTCAGTATGTGATATAATTAAGATTATTGGTTTCTTTTTTAATTTTATCACTTTTCAATATTCATTTTCAGTGAGCAATAGGAAATGTAGGAGTACAGTGTTTAGCCTTATACTGTATATGCATGGGAAGTCAGATTATAGTTTCAGAAATTCAAGAGAAACAGTAATATGATACTTTTAGGGTACAGAGCTGGTAGAATGTCCATATGATGCCTCACACAAGATGCCAGAGTGTTCTTTGAAGAGACACACTCAGACTTGCAAGCTGTTGAAAGAGGGCTGTAACAAGACAGATCTGGTATGGTAATTTTATATGAATTAAATGGAAATGAACATTAGCTAATTCAGGCTACATCTGTGGCACCTATATATTTGAAATTTTGTTAATAGGTTTGCTGTCAGTTAAAGTCCCTATCACTTGTGAATGGGAAAAATCATGAGAAATGGTCATATTTTGGCCTACTTGATAGTACTTTGATCAGAATAGTGAAAATGTGATTTTTGGAGAACACTGATCTCATACTCATTTATTATATCACCATCAAGAAGTGGTGACATATTGTTATGGTGTCCGTTTTTTGTGGCGCGGGTGGTGGTTGGCAATCGGCGGTTGGCGGTTGGCATCTGTAACAAATTCTTAAAACTTCCAATAAATTAACAAATACTGTTTAGACTGACTTCAATTTTTTACAGTTAGTTAGTTAAATATTTATTATAGTGTCACAGGCTATACAATATATGAGAAATATGATTTGCAAAACAGGCAATAGCCCCCAGCCGTCTCCGGCTTATGAGACACTTTATATCAATGAATTTACTGTGATTGTTGCAATTTCTTTGTTCGATTCAGTTCATTGATTGTCCAGTTTCGATATGATTAAATGGTGAGTCGTATGTTATTAGTTTTAATATCAAACTAATTACTGTGTACAAATCATTTACAAGTTTTCAGAAGTTCAAATCAGATTTAACATTTTAGATTTGACCTTCAGTGACCTTTTCAAGGTCAAAGAAATGTCAAAAGGTCTTTTTTCAACTTGCTTCAAATTGACCAAAATGTTTTTCAAAATCATCTTCAAGTTATCAGAAGTTCAAATCTGACTTAAGATTTAAGATTTGACCTTCAATGACCCTTTCAAGGTCAAAGAAATGTCAAAAAGGTCTTTTTTCAACTTGCTTCAAATTTACCAATTTTTGATTTGAGATTTCACCTCCAATGACCTTCTCAAGGCCAAAGAAAGGTCAAAAAATATTTTTCAATTTGCTTCAAATTGACCAATTTTTTGTACAAATTCTCAAGAGTTCAAATTTGACTATAGATTTGACCTTCAATGTCATTCTCAAGGTCAAAAAGGTCTTTTTTCAACTTGCTGCAAATTGACCAATTTTTTCAAAATCATCTACAGAGTTCTCAGAAATTCAAATCTGACTTAGGATTGGACTAATAATATTGTGAGCAACTAGGTGGTGACATTTTGTCATGTTATGCCTTGTTCATGGTTACTGTTGTCAATTTTTACATAACAATGAGAATGATGTCACAGAACAGAAAACCAATTATTGATAAAAATCTTATGGGTATGTGTAATGTTTACCTAAATTTTTGTAAATGGTATGTTTGTTTTATTGTAGGATGTTGCTTTGTCCACCTCAGTGGATTTTTATGGAAAAGCCAGTAATGTTCACACTGTACATATAGGTGAGTACTTTTAGACATTGTGCTCTTGTTCCTTTTAAAAGATCTATTCTTGATACAATTGTAATACAAGACAATACAGTACCTGAAGTGAAGACTATTTTGTTCTAATTTAGAACATCAACAGAACATAAGAATAACTGAAAACATAATTGAGATTTTAGGAAGTTTTTTCTTATAACATGATGCATTTCTTATAAAAGAAGTATATATTAAAGTATTAATGAACAGTATTTTACATGTCCAATTAAACTGTAAAATGCTTTCAGATGGAGAGACCCAGGCATCCATAATCAGAGAGTCAGAATGGATACATGGAACGACAGGTAGCTCATCTTTATAAAAACTACTCTATGAAATAAATCACGCAAGATTGATCATTCTTGAAAGTAGGAGATAAATCAATCAGTTTTCCCATTGAATTTTTAGTATTAGATTAAACTACAGTTTGGACCATAAACAAATGAGTCATGGATTTGCTAAAGTGAGGATTTCCCAAGTTAGAAATAAGAGAAATTTTAAAAGGCCATACATCAGTGGATGAGAATATACCAAATGTAAAATATACAAATTTTAGAGGATAGGGCATGTATCCTGACAATATTGGAGACTATGGGCTTTTAAACCACCATGGTTTGGAAATGGTGATAGAAAATCGTCCACTCATTTATTTATGGTCCAAACTATGTATATATAAAACACATTACAAATTGATGTTTATTTTATTGACTTGTTTCTCTTTCAGGGTAAGCACATACATGGGAGAAGTGCCCAAGAATGTACTTGTACTTGTATCCTATATATAAAATATCCTTTATTCAACAATTTGTTCTTGTTCACTATTTATTTATTTCTAATTTATTATAAGAATGAACATTGAATAGGTGGCCACTGGTGGCACAGATTGTGTATATTCCTTATTGATAATGTATCAAAAATGGGATGGTACCGATAGGGATCTATTCGTGTGTTAATCTCCCATTACTTCACATGGGTTGGAGCAAATTGTTGAGTCTGGTACTTGGCCATTTACCTAGTATCTTCCTAGTATGTAATATCTTATTTAATAAGTATGCAAACACACTATATTCTAACCTTAAAAAAGTTTGAACTCTCTTTCCTGAAAAATTTCAAATCATGGTTGGTGAAATTCAATTGTCTTTTACAATATTGCCTTTTAAAGATGTCCACATCTTATATACAGTACTTTTGAATGGCTCACTAACAATTAAATGATAAAGTCTCTATGGTTCTATATTTAGGTGCAACAGCTGATGGTACACTTAAACCTGTTCCCCATAGCGCAGAGCAGGCCACAATAGAACTGACTAGAAGCCAACGTCTGGCCATGTATGACTATGTGGTCAACCAGGCCAAGGGTGCAAGAAAGACAACTAGCTGTTCAAATGAAGAACTGATGTTCTTAAAAGAGGAAGATGTAGGTAAGGAATCAGTTTAAGTAGTTAGTCTTATTCATTGATTTAATTTCCAACATTTCATGATTGGCAGTTTGTAAAAGTTTCATATTATAATTGCATTTCTTCTTCCTTTCTTTTTGGAACAAATGTAATTGTGATAAGACCCAGTTTGTCTTTTTTAAATAACCCTGTCTAATCTGATCTGAACACTTATATGGTGTTGAAATTAGCAGCTATTCACATACAAGTTTCTTAATAAAGTATGTGAGTCAATGGGAGACATCAAAATCGGGTATCAAAATCTGAAGGGTATGTAGGCAAATCCATTTTGGTAGGAGCACTCTGTTTAGTTTGAAAACTCACCCTTTATTATTTTGTATCAGCACTATAGTCTGCAACTTTTTTGTTGACAGAGGTCTGCATATGGCAGTCGATGTCTGTAACAAATGGTAGGTAGTGCCATTTTGCATGTCAATGCCTTGTTTATGTTCTTAGTGCTAAATGTTTTGTTATGTTTCTAGCTAAACCCAGTGGCTCCCTGTCTTACAAAGAACAAGAGGCAGCTATGAGAGATTTCAAAAGAAGAAGACAATCATATCGTGCCAAGAATGTCCACACAACTGGAAAGTCTCACACTGAAGTAAGTCCAGTCATACAATACTCCTTGTAGAACTCTGCATGTTCATGTCTTGTAAATATATATTTGTTTCCATTGCACATCTAGAATTTTCTACGACAGACTGGCGTTACTCTCTGGGTTACCATATTTGGTGATTTCCTGTAAACATGCGCCATGCTCAAGTTCTTTCTAAATTCTCCATACACAAATTAAAATGAATATCTGGGATGAAAAGAAAATTCAATATTTTTTCTAGATGGAGGTCATAATGTCAAGGTTCCTGGTCAAACATGGTTATTCAATTCAAGTTTTCCTGGACCTGAAAATGTTTGAAAGAGTTATTTTGTAATACTTTTCAAACAAATCAAAAATATATTTCCCCAATAAATAATACAATAAAAGACAGAATGGCAGTGTTCATCCAAATTTAGAACAAGCTATGGTAAAGAAGTATAAACACTCCGGACAAATAAACTGGAATTCAACTTTAATTTTTTTCAAAAATCCCAAAGCTATTTACATTATTGCATCATTTAATTGAGGATTCTATGTATGTCTGTAGAACATGCTGTGCTCAATATTTAAAACAAGAATATTTTCTTTGTTTAGATTTTACGTGAGGTTATTTCAAGTCAGTGTGAGGTCTTGGATAAAATTTGGAATAAAAAGGTAAAGAAAGAGCCGGATGATGGACCATGGACCCAACAGAGGGACCATGTAAAGGAAGAACCTAGGACTTCCTCTAGGCACCAGAAGAGGGATCACCGATCAAGGGAAAGAACTAGAAATATGTCGCCAGAGCGAGCTCAGAGAAGGAGGTAAATTTTCTAATTTTGAGAGGGGAGTGGGTTTCGTTTATGGAACAAAAATTAGTGTATTTAGTACAAATAGTAAATTATTTCATTACTTGGACAGTCCACCTCTCTATCCTCATTTGCATTTTGTAATTTGAAAGAGAAACTATTTCCACCTCATTGTTGATTTAGTATTTTCGAAATGTTGTTTTGCAGATCCAGATCAAAGTCCAAGAAAAGGCACAGAAGAAGAAGTCATAGCAGGTTTGAAAATTTTAGCCTTGGTTTCTATTCAGTATATCCTTCATCCAGTGTATGGACACTTTGAAGTGAGAGCACGGGGGCTTTGAGTCATAAAAAAATTAATTACATTTCTTATGGGCGTTGATTCACATGCACGGTTCCTGTTTTGAATGATTGCCTCATTGATGTTCTGAATTATATCATAAAAAATGAAAAAACTATAGAGAAATGGCTGAATGGTCTGAATATCAGTTTTCTAGTTTATCTGAACCATGCAATCATTTAGATAGAACTGAGATCTGTGGCATATTCATATCCAACTATGTGGACATAAATAATATTTTCAATTTACAGATACAGTGAGGATTCAGATGAGGAACACCATAGAAGAGACCGCCATAAGTCCAAAAAACACAAGCACAAATCCCGTAGAGATAGAGATTAGTATATGAAATGACACACAAAGTCAGTCACTTGAAGACATGTGGAGGGCGAATCTTACGAGCAGTTGTTATGGATACCAAAAACTGTGTATAGACCAGTCAACAGTGGTGTAAAATCATAGTAAACAGTGATTTTAAGTCATCTAGAAATGTTAGTCACATAAAAACTTTAGATGATATAATTTCACTAGGAGACTGGTGATGTTAAGTCACCATGAAATATGAAGTCATATAGAGATGTCAGTGTTAAAAACATTAATGATGTCATTTCACACTTGAACCAGGGATGTCACATCATAGTAATTGTGTAATCAGGTATTCAAGTCATATGGATGACAGATTGAATGTAAGACCTACATGTATTTCAAATTAAACAAGTTCTATAAAGTGAGCAACAGTTATTATTGTATTTTATTTTCACATATAATATTGATAACAATAGTGTCATTGGTGCTGAGATTTGCAAATTTGTTAAATTACAATGACAAATTACAATAAGTATACAATAAACATTGAGGTAATGTATCTAATGATTTGTGTTTCTGCTATATTTTTTGTATAACTATGACAGTTAAATGCCTTTGTATCAAACAGGATTGTCATCATTAGCTTACAATTGGCATTTTATAAGACTTAAATATCAAAAAACACCACATGTGAAAATGTCAGGAAAGTTTGATAGACTAGGCTATACATTTGATAGGCCCATACAAGTAATCTACCACACTGATAGTCTAATCTGAAATTATTTCGGTGGATTAACACACTTATTAACTGGATAAGAGTGGACAAATGAAAGTTTAGCAAATCACCATTTCTGGGTCCTGTTGCCAATGTACATTATATTGTCCACTTTTAGCATATGGTCTATCTATTACCTATCTATCCATCTGTCTAGATATATCACGTGCAAATGTACAATTAATGATTCTATACAGTGAGTAATACAATGACATACAAGTATATCAGAAGTATGACGAGGCAAAGGAGTAGTCGAGGCAAAAATAGACTAAAAGATGGACGTTGCTACCTATGTACTCCATTTATACAGTTTTATTTCAAAGTTGAAAAAACGCCGGAATAAATATGATTTTGTAAGCCTTTGGTGAGGCATTTGGCTCTCTACCCCTCATGCCTGGCTTCATCATTGACTCTCTACCCCTCATGTCTGGCTTCATCAATGACATGTCAAAACAATGACTGGTCGGTCAAGATAGTAACTACACTCGGAGGAAGTGAAGTTGTCACTGTTATGTTTTGTGACTGAATTTTCCTAATTTCCTGATTTTGAGAAAACATGTTTGAGAATAAATTGTCAGTGAGGCAAATTAGAAAGTGGTGTCAAATTACTACAGAAGTTGATTTTGAACTGTGAAACGTCTAGTAGACATGATTTTAAAATCACCAAAAAAGTCGAGTGACATTGTACACTTCCTCCAAGCTTAGTCATGTATTATAACAATGAAGGACTTGTCATGTCATTTACTTTTCAAATTGTCCTGTCAGATTTTAAATGAGTGTTGACTACCAGCCATTTGCTTTTTATTGCTACACGAACAGTGTATTCAACATTGTTGAACGGTGTATTCTAAAGCAAATTTTGTAATGTAAGAAAGCTCACACATCGGAGTCACTTTGTAGTTAACCTAGAGGTGAATAAAAGAGTGAATCAACACAATAACAGAGGAGATCAAAAACGAAGATGCAGCAATTGTAGAAGCACTGCTGCAGTAGTCTTTCCACCAAAGGTTCCTGAGGCGGGAGAGGGTCCCGTCTTCCTGCATTCGTAGAATAGCAAGATTAAACGTTGATACGTGGGGAGAACCTTTCGAGAAAGCCAGTCCGTACCCCCACGAATTAAGTGGATTACCTATAACTTTGACATCGCATGGTCGATGTTTTGACCAGTAGTCCGCCATGACGCTGTCCATGATAAAATAATAATTGCCTTGTCTCACTCGATCTACTCCCGTCGCTGCTTTATCAACAAACACAGATGGGTCCGAATTCATTTTGGCCCACATGCGTGCATAGAGACCATAGGTTGAATTTTGGAAAAACTGTTTCGTCAGACCATTTTGTATCGTGCCATATTTTGCCGTGTTTTGATTAGCGAGTTCCCCCACACTCTTGATTTCGAGAGGATTCTTGCCCAAGATGACAGTTCCAGTAGTCATGAAGGGCAAGGTGAAGTCCAAGACGTTCAGACGCGTCGATGTGATCGTCAGTGGCGCAGCTGCAAAGTCAGCGTCCTAGAATCGAAGCACAATGATGTAATTTCATTAATTCAATTTCCAATTACCTCATTTTGCTTAATTATTGCACAAGCTGTTTGCTGTAATTGTTTAATCTTAGCACCCAAGTTCCGTTCTTGCAAAATTACTTGTAGTAGACAAAGATGGATTCTAACAATTAGAACTAATTAAGTGATCCGACATGCCGGGGGGAATGGGCGAATGGTTCATATCACTACACCATTCTAGGTATCCACGAGGCAGATGTAATGTGTGGTTTCATATAGAACACGGTTATTTAACATAAATACGTTACTTACATTATAAATATTATTATTGAATGATTTGAAGTGCATTACAGGATATATTCTGCTCTCGATATTCTGTATTGGCACTCGAAAAAAAGTGTTACAAATATATTGATAATTTCAGAATATACAGTTGGTGCTTGGCTTTAATGCCTTACTTTCATGTAATCATCTTTTTTGAACTAACATGAGAACCATTCATTAAAGTAAAACCCGAAGAGAATTGGAATATTTTGCTTCATATAATTATTGATTTACATGTATATCCCATTGTATTGTGATATTGAGAAGCATCAGTGCCAGAGCGCATATTCTTTGACAAATACCACAGAGATATGTTCGACTAAAACTAAATCTTGATAGCCGAGAGCATGCAATGAGTACGAACGTGGTGTGATTATCAAATTAATATAATATATAAGTAAACCGAATACTGGATAATGGAGTGAGAATTTTGGTAACAGGAGTCAACGGCCATGGGCAACGAATGTCGTGGCAATGTCTGCTTCTGCAACTATATATATACGTGTGACTCCAAGATGGCCCCGAGTATTCTCCAAAGACTTTTTCATCCATTCCTGAGACATTAAGTCATCAAGTGGAACCAAACAGTTGCCAAAGAACATTTTCACTGTTCCACAACTAGTTACTTTGACGGAACGCCAATGTAACAAAATGGATGAACTTCCTGGTTACGAGTTCTTTTGTTTTCTCGATTTAAACCTACTTATAAGTCCAGTTGCAGATTGTAATTTGGCACAAAGCGAGAAAATATACAGTTGTCTAGCTTTAATGAATTTCTTCAATTTGGAATTTGTTTGTAAATGAAGTTGCAATTCTTATATTAGTCCCTCGCTTTTGTTACATTGACGAAAGTCCGTTATATTACCAATGTATGTTACTTTGCCGACTTACGTCAGTGTAACAAAAACGATGGTCTAAATGCATGAATTACAGCTTTATTTAAAAATCTGATTCCAAACCGAGAGCACTTCTTAAAGCTAGACTATATTTTCTAACTTTGTGCCAAATGATAATCTGCAACTTGACTTATAATTAGGTTTAAATCGAGAAAACAAAAAACTCGTATCCAAGAAGTTCGTCCATTTTGTTACATTGACGTTCCGTCAAAGTAACTAGTTGTGGGACAGTAATTTTGAGAAAAAAACTCGGGACACAATTTTAGGTCACTTTACATCTTACCGGTCCCAAGACTTCGCCGATCATCCCGGTCCACTTGCCATCACTTTTAGGAACCCCATAGGCGCCATCCTTAACGATAGATATATCAAAATTGATCCCTAGGCGATCTTTTAGTTCATCAAGCAGATCGGGAATAAAACCAGTATAGCGACCATTAACCAGTTGTTTTTCAACGAATGGCGGCTCCTGAAATATACCCATCCAACAATCTGATAAGAACGCCCTATTGTATATAAATTGAATGATTATCTTTCAAAAACGGCAATGGCTGCAACACTTGAAGCTTTCCGACAATAGAAAGAAAGCACTTTATCTAAAGAATTCATTTTGGCCTGTCTTGATTGCACATTCTGAATAAGAGAATAAAAGAGAATCAGACTTGCAAATATTATGATTTACATCTGGTAGTCTTATATCTATACCCTGGACCTTGGAGTAAATAACAGAGGGGGGGGGGGGGCAGAGTCTTGAAACAAGACCAATTTGGTAGTTATCGTATAGTTAAATTAAACTCACATGAATTGTTGTCACTTTGAGTGTCTTTGATGTAACTGGAGTACATACTGCAAACAAAATAGAATTAACAATGATTGATTCTGTTATTCATTGTCTTGTTGCCAAGGAGATATACGTAAATATCCTAATAAACAAACAGTCCACCTGAGCTGGGCCATCATTTACTTTTAATTGGAAAAAGATTATATGTAGCTCATCCCACATTTCAGAGAAAAACTAGATAGATGCATATCCGAGAATTTGGAATTTGTATCAGTTTGATATCCGATGTGTTTGTGGAAACAGCCATTCGCCTTGGAAGAAAATACTGTAAAATGTTGACAGGCGTGGAATATGTATACCCTACGAAAATGCTCCACGCGAATCCAGCCCCTGTTTGGGTTTGATTTAAAAAAGTCAGTTGTGTTTGATACCCTGTGTCCCTGTCTAATTGAAACAAATCTTCCGTATCACCCTGTACCCTCCGATGGGATTGCCAAACATTCGATTTTCTTTAACTCCCAGGATTGACTCGAATTCGACGTTGCTATGAATATGAAATATATCAAACTGTAACAATATTCCGACAAAAACACATATTTCTTCGCTCCATGATAGGTTTTAATACACAAATGGGAATATCACGTCATCAATAAATCAAATTGCAGAACAGAACAGCATTTTGAATTTTGACGACGCTAATCAAATAAACAGATACTATTATTAGGTTTCATTACTATTTGTAATATCTTTTTTGTTGGAAATATATTTATGGTATCATATTAATAATGATCAAGGGGGAGAGTACGAGTATAATCCGTTTGTATTTTATCAGCAGCTCTAAAAAGAGATCGATGAAGAAATTTCAACTAAACTCCCTTAAGCGAATATTAGGCCAACTCGTCATTCTTGGTTGAATTATTAATTTAAGCATTATAGGCCTATAAATACGTATACTTCTCAAAGCCACTTTAATTCAAAGACGATTTTTTCAGGATCTTATTTAAGATCTAAGCCATATTGGCTGCCGCAATAAAGACATTTTGTTGACACCGGGTGATTAGTCCCAAATTAAGAAAATTTTGAAAGTTTAAACATGTACTCTAAATTGCAGTCTTTTACTGTAAAACTGTTAAACACTTTAAAACTGTAAAACTGTTAAAAAGTCATTTTTATTTTTAATAGTAGCCTAATCAGTGTTAAAAATCATGTCATGAATATAAGGAAATACAAGAACTGATCGACAATTTCCAATATAGCCTAATTATTATTGGATAAAAATTTGAGATAAAACAGGTTATTACAACCTAATTCTTCTTTTTAGTATTAAAAGATACGCATCTCGGAAATTTTGAATGCGATTACTCCATTTCCAAGTCATTAATTCCGTCATTGAATAATCTTCCATCAGTGTACGATAAATAAATTGGCCATAGCGTTCCGGACGAACAAGATAATCACCCAGTTCGTGATATGGAAACGCCATGGAAAATTTCAACAAGTTGATCAAAATACATAACATCAACTTATGATTTTCTCATAAAAGATATGGAAATATATTGAATTGATGTGTTACATGTGTTAATGTATTTTGAGTTCGGAAATTCCCAATTGGTCGAGCATTACACACATAATCGCTTTAACTGAAACATTGGCAGACGCCAGAGGTGCTTTCAGAGGTCCACGATCATTGTTTATTCATACCGCAATTCCAATTATAAACCAGGCCCTCCAATTATGGAGTCCTTCTGGAATTTGGTAGTCTATGGGTTCACGATCTATATAATCGTCTCATATCACGATACGTTTTGTCTCAACATTCAGTAATTAAGAAATAGAGCAAAGCTTTCGAACCCCTCACTCCCTTCGGTCGTTCGAGGTACAGAAAACATTTGTGCCTAGCCCCACGGGGTGTATTCGATGATATTACACCTGCCCTGAGGTCTATATTACGATTCGAACATGAAAACTACGGGCGAAAACTACATTACTACGGGCCGCCGTCACACATTACTCGTTGTACCAGGGGTATTATTCGCGAATATAACCCGGGCGAAATATTGACTTTGTTCACTATTTATAGAAGGCGTGAATACAGTAATGTTAGAATATCTTATAGTAAATACCATAACGTTGATAATATACGACATGCAAGCAGGTAAATTCAATTGCCTTATTTTTACGACGTTAATTTCATAAATGGTTTTAGTTAAATGATCACATAAAATACATTGTCAAACAAAACATGTTTTATTTGATTTTTAATGTGCAAATAATCTATTTTTAATATCAGATGAACAATCAGATGGAAAATCAAACATGAAAAAGTAAGTACAAGACATGCTTATCTTTGAAAGGAAGCCACAAAATGAGATTCGATATTTTCTAGGGCATCATTATAACGAAGGAATATATCAGTTTTGTTCATAATACTTACACACCGTTTTTGGAACTAATCCAATTAACAACTCTGGGGTTTTCAACCTAATATATTAAAAGTAAAGCTAAATATTCATTTTGTCAATAATAAAATCGACAGAAATCAACATCTTCTTAGGATGAGTTGAACTAAGTAGTTGGTATTAATATATAGATAAATAAAAATAAATCATACACGCAATGTAAAAATATCAAGGGGTGACAAAATCATATAGGCGAACCCAACTCTTTAAATCGAGGAGTTACCATGAAATAAAAATCGGTGAATTTTAACTTACCTTGCAAGAACATCAGAAATCCTACAACTTGTGATGCCAATGTTTGCATGTCGTGTCCAATCATTCTAAGACGACCAGTGCATGGATTGACCCTCTCAATGTATGCTCTCACACCGACACGATTGATGCAAGTGGTTTCTCGGACCCGCTGCAATTTGATTATTAAGTCGCTGTACAAAGAGAACTTTCTTTTTAATAATATCACATGGGATTCCAGTGCTTCTTGATTGGTTCCTATCGCGAGAACAATTGGATTAACCAATCATGTTCCCAATGACGAGAGGATAATATTGTCCCCCAGCAGAATATTCCAATTCTGAGTAAATTGAGGTCACATAACATGGTTCAAAATGACGTTATTTGCACTTTGGTGATTTATAACAGAGCCAAACGCAATTACTTTACAATATATAATCACTAGCAATTCCCATTTATTTTTGGTGGGACAATAAATTGAATTTATTATCGTGTAACAGACAACTTATTTAAGTTTTAATCATACCATAAATGCATTTTATTGTTCTATATATCACCGATAATAGTTTCCGTCCTTTCGCGCTTCCAACCCAGTCCTCCATCGACACGTCTACTTCGCCAACGTTGTCTCCATGACCATTCAGTTATCGCGGCCAAGTTCCACCATACCCCTTGTCACACGAACGCTCCATTAATCCAGTTATAGAATTCCTCCAGAATCATTATATAGGACGAGTTTAATCAGGTTTGCATGATTAATGTGAAACTGTCCCCTAAATGGATTAGACTAGTTTTAATACTATTGACTGATACCACGGCGTGAATAATAAACAACGTTGACAACTGAACAGCAAAAGAATGTGTATCCATCTCTAAGATCACTTTATGAATCTTTCGCTCCTTGTCGTTAATGTCTCCCACCGGTCGAAGGACTCTCATTATTGTTGTAATATCTGTGGTCCCTTGTCAGTTTTGTGTCAATCCAGCCCAGGTTCCTAAATATGAGAAACACCAAACACAATTTAAAATTTAACAATCTCTAAGAAATCAGATCTTTTTATCGTATGATCTGTAAAATGAAGCCCTTTGATTGGCCAATTCTTGTGCTGTACCAATCTGTATTGCTACTGAGATTGTCCCCGTTGATCATCTCCGTCGCAATACAGAAGATATTGGTACGGAGGGGACAATCTCAGAAGCAATACAGAAGATCACACGATAAAAACGTTATAGAATGATTTGACGTGCAATACAGGATATATTCTGCTCTCTATATTCTTGGCGATAAGATCACACGATAAAAACGTTATTGAATGATTTGAAGTGCAGTACAGGATATATTCTGCTCGAGAAATTCTGTATTGGAACGAGACGAAGTCGAGTGCCAATACAGAATATCGAGACACTTCAAATCATTCAATAACTTAATATATTATCGTATGATCTGTAAAATAAAGCCCTCTGATTGGTCAGTTCTTGTGCTGTACCAATCTGTATTGCTACTGAGATTGTCCCCGCTGATCATCTCCGTCTCAATACGGAAAATATTGGTACGGAGGGGGCAATCTCAGTAGCAATACAGAGGATCACACGATAAAAACGTTATAGAATGATTTGAAGTGCAACACAGGATATATTCTGCTCTCTATATTCTGTATTGGCACTCGACTTCGTCTCGTAACAATACAGAATTTCCTGTATATCCTGTATTGCCCTTCAATTCATTCAATAACTTATATTATTATATCATTGCTAGAATTTGTGTCCTTTGATTGGCTGATTCAGTACCATGTGATCAAAAATACCAAAGCGTATTTCACACCTCCCTTAATTTTGGAATAATAAAAGACGTATTGCCCGGCGTATTGCCCGCCCGGGAATTCTGAATCGTCCCGTTTCGTCCAGTACAGTTGTGACGTGCATCAAAATGGCAGACAGAAAAAGATTTAAAAGTCTGAATTCCGATGAAAAGAACGACATCTTGAGGGATGTGCATTCTAAAAACACCATTAAATCAACGGAATGACATCTAATGTCTTAGAACATTTTCAAGTGTTATGTGGACGAAATAGACGTTAAATCTATCGATAAAATCGTTCTGGATGGAATTTTAGAGTTTTTTTTTGAACTGCGAACGAAGGATGGGGAATATTAAAAGAGTGCCAGTCTGCAAAGTAAGCGAATGTCTAGCAATGATATAATAAAACAAATATTTCATTCTATGTTCGGGCAATACCTGTTGCACTTTCAATGATTTTTGCAGCATGTATTTCCCTCGCCCTCCGGGCTGCGGGCAATACATGCTGCAAAAATCATTGAAAGATGAACAGGTATTGCCCTCCATAGAATGAAATATTTGCTTAGTATTGAGATGCCAACCTTAGTGATGAAGTGAATGATAAAATTATTGAAATTGTGGCTCATTATGTCTCAGTAGCAATCTCAGTATAGAACGGACAGTGAAACATTCTAAAATCATTTGGGAACCTTTTGGGTGGGAGGGGGAGCAAGCATAGATACAGACTGAACATTACGTGGTTTTTGTATTGTGTATTTAAGTCATGTATATTTTATGTTCTATATACTTTGCAGCTTACATGTATATGTTATTAAGTTAAGTTAACAAAGGCATCCGTACATTTGTATTTATATCAATATCAAGGAAATATAAATAAATTGAAATTGAAAAAACCCAAACCCATGCAAAATATGAGATATACTACACACATGTTCTGTATATAGTTGGGAAATAAAGATTTTTGATCATCTTCTTCTGCATCAGAGTATTCCTGCACATACGTCGTACAGAATGAGTCAAAAGTTCTCTGAGATTTGGTACATCTTTTTTCTTCGTCTTACTTTCAACCTTTTAATTATAATGAACTCAAAACATACGATTAACTAACTGTATAATAATGGTGGGGCTGCTGGATTCCATTATTTATAACTTTTAAATAAATTCTGATATATGTTTAGCTTTACGAGGTCATTTTGATCGATTATTTCAAAAATTATATCTGCCAGTTCAAAAAATGCAAAACTTCATTTCATGATAATACTTACTTCAAACTAGCAATATAATATTGTTTTTATTGGCCATAACCAGCTGCTCTGAACCAGGCGTAAGATCGTTTTTATCACTCGTGATATGTTCAGATGGTTAGATGGCAGCATATGACGTTACAGCTACAATTTGGATTGTCAAAGTAGGCCTTAGAGTTGTCCATAGGGATGTACAACTCTAAATACAGGAGAATAATCCAAGATTTTCCATAGAACTCCCAACACTCTTCGTATACAACAGTTTAGACATGAATGAATGATTTGACTCAATGCACATGGCCTACCATATGAACTCTTTTTATTGATGGCAATGCAATGTACTTTTGGATTAGATGCACTAACGGATTTAAGCCTTGTACTCATTGCAATGCGGTATGACCATTCCCTGATGATGTTGCTTTCTAAAATTTGCACGAGATGCGCAGCAAATGAATGGTCATTCCACAATGCATTGAGTCCTGGGCTTAAATTCTTTCCACACATTGCAAAATATTTTCTTCCATGTCCCTTAAAAGGTACGAAATTAATCACTAAAAGAATATATTTTCAATGAAAAGTTGGCAAAGCATCGATTTCAATCTGTAGAGGCAAGTTGTCACCTTGACAACCACATAAGGAATGACCTTGACTTGGATGCGGTGATTTGTTTTATAATGCACTGTACTGCATTAATATGAAATACTGTGTTCTGATTTGCTGGAATTGGACACACCTTGCCTAGCTATGTGTGAATCAAGCTCTAAAATAATACTTTCTGTATAAGAGTCGTGTTTGTAATTTGTACTTTTGAAGAACTGATTAGTACAGTGCTTCTACGCTATATGTTATAATAAAACAGTCAATTCTAGATGAAGTAACATGTGAACAAAATCACATGACGTGATCTTACATATCTTTAATTTCTCATTAAAACTAATTTATGTCAATATTTTTCGACTTGATGGATGGATTTGTCAAAAGGGCATAGACGCACCTGTTACATGATTCATGTTATATCAGCCAATGTCAAACCATTTCCTCTTTTTGAGAACTCTACCACACTGTATAAGGCATTTACCGTTTGGCATCATCGATGAACTATGGTATCTCAATCCTTCTCACTCCTGAGATTATATTGATATCGAGACACAAACAGCAGAATGACCTTTTTGCGATAAGGTAAATAAATATGCATAACCTCATCCTTTTTTACCTACACAAAATATAGTAAATAGGGATCCAAGAATATATCATATATTTTGACTTAAAGTGTGTTACACCCCTCCTCCATAGTTGGGCATCCGAGTGTCTTTACCATTGTGAAGCATGTCAAACGGGCTGATTGTGCTTAGATCTTAATTTTGTTTCTCAGCAATGCTAAAAGGTTGAGAAAAATATGGAGACTGCGAAACATTCGGAGGGGAGTGTATAACCATGGGAGAATAAACCATATCAATACACACCGATGTCCTTGCATCGTCCTGAAGAACAAAATAATGTTGACACATTTTTGAGTGTCTATCTATTAATTATGTTTTATGTCAATCACAATTATTTTGAGTGGGTGGAGAGTGTTGAACAAAAACACACAACATGACAATGGGAATTGAGGAACGATAAGAATACTAGCAACCTCAAATGATGTTATCTTTAACAAATTCAATTAGTTTATAGTCATTAATAATGTTTTTAATTACGCATGCGTATCTTCAGAGTTGTACTCGTGTAGACGTTGTATTTATGAGTAATTGATTTCGCGCGATTACAAAGTCCAAAACTATTTGTCAAATGGTACCGGGCCGAGTCTGATACTATCACAGTTCGGCAATCTGTAGCCATTATCACATTTAGAAATAATATTCATTAGACAACCGACAGAAGCAAACGCAGGTGAGAGACAAAGACTCAAATAACATTTTACTTTTATGAACTTTTTTCAAAATGGCCAAAGATTTGCGTAATGTTTTGTATTTGAAACAATTGTTTAAAGGTGTTTTCCTAATTTTCTAAAAACACGTTTAAAGGTAGTAATCTAAAATGCAAGTGTTTGTTTTGAAGCATCATCATGAGCAACAAGCCAACAAAGGCCGAGATTGAGGAATGGTTTGCCCAGAAGGTAAGATCTAAAACATTGGACATTCTATCGGGAAGATTAAATACGCTCAAAATATGGGTCGTTCAAGTTGTGCTTAAAAAGTTAATTGATTTATTCTTAATTGCTGATCACAATAAGTGTTTTTAAAGTTATTTTAACCCGCCTGCAAGAAGATAACCATTAGAATTTTATCAAAATTATTAGAGATCTTTGAGTGATAAACAGTTATAATATAATAATATGGAAGAATTGACCCTTTTCGATATAAATGGAAAATAAATTGGTATTGGTAGGGCTAGGGTAGGGCTAGAATACATGTAAATTTATTGCCAGAGTCACTTAATTTCTTGATTTTAATAAGTAATTCCGTTTGGATCAACTTAAAACACCGAAACGAAACTTTTAAAGAAACTTTAAAAGGTTTTTCAGCATTGCGTCAATGGGGATTTAGCCCGACCTTTTTTTAGACAACTAGAAAATCATTAGAATTTGAATAAAGGTAAATAATAGTGCAAATCAAAGTTGTTTTGATAGAAAATTACAAAATTCAAATATGCCATCAAATAGAAGAAAATGTTAGTCTAATGGTAAAAAATGCAAAATTTGAAATTTAATCTCATTAAAAACAATTTGATATAAATGCTGTGCAAATTCAATATATACCATTGGAAAGAACATTAAGCCAAAATGCTTCATGAGTTCAACCAATCATTAACCTTGGCACATCCATGTAGTTTTGTTTGTTCTTTCGAATTATATAAAACCACATCCGAAGCATGTGAAGTATACTATCATAGGCGGTTTTTAGGGAAGTGATTTGTTTTCATGTCCCGATTTGTTTTTACTAATTTGGGTCGGAAAAGGGGCTTTTTCTGAGCCTTACTTCTAAAATAATCCCGGTGATTTTAGCTTTTAAAGTTATTTTAGACCCCGCCCTCAATGTACATATCCACTTCTGCATGTCCACTCTTTGAGTAATAAAGTACTGTAATACTAGTAACTAAAGAAATATAATGAGGAAAAACATAAAATATATGAAAACTATTTTTTCCTCCCCATGCCAGGAATCAAGCGGAGAGAAGATCAGCGGGGCGGAGATAGGCGAGCTGCTATCTGCCCAGGGATACTCTGATGAGGATATTAAGGTAATATTACGAGATCTACTCCCAAAAATTATACGAGCGCATGAGTTCTTGTTGGATAAAGGAAAAACTAGTTGTAGGTCTTCCAGAAGCACCCTGCCGTTCAGAGGATGGCCTTGACCAAACAAAGAACAAATATGTTCAAATTCTGTTATTCCACCAAAGCCTGCACCATATTAAGAATATAATTTTGTAATATTATCGTCATACACAGTAACACGGGCAGGTATTAAGACAAACTTGGGCAAATGCCACGAGGGGCAATATCTTCTTGTGCACCGACTCTGTTAACTTCGGTCTTAGGTACTTGGTATTTTGTTTACCTTTTTTGGAAAACAATGGAAGTCAGGATCGGAATCATGATGTGGATAGCAGGTATTCCAAGTTTGTTATCTTTTGAGTATCATTTGTTCATTGGAACATTTGCAATCAACAAATAGCACACATATTTTAGCAACTGTGTATACGTTGACGATGAAGTGTTCAAAAAGGCAAAGTAAGGGCACGAGATATGATAATTATGATTATTTATTGGATGTTAATCATGTTGTCCTCCAACACCCACTAATTCGTATATTTTAAATATAGGATTGACAAATATAGCCTAAATTAAATTTGACTTTAATTTTAACTTTTGATTTGCCTTATTTGAAAATTACTTCAGCGGTTCTATAATTATGGACTATTTATAATCGATATAGGCCTAACCTAAAATGGAACACACCAAATTAAATATTAGTAATCAAATGTTGAAATAATACTGATAATTTCATGACAAATTCGAGTTAAAGTAAATGCTATTCGTCACATCATACAGACGATGGTCAAAGATTATGGTATCATATCGTATCATTAGATTCATGAAAATATTTCCACTCCCGAAGCTCACTTGAGAATGTGTTGAGTGGTTTGTGCCATCAACCACCAGTTTAATGGAACTTTCCATTAATTCATTAATTATAAACCATCATGTAATAGATTAACCCAATAATATCGAACGCGTTATTTTTGATATATTTATAATATTTTGATACAGTGACCGTATGAGTACATTAGCTTGTAATTAAAGTAAGACTTAGTCATTTCGGCATCGAGATGACATGTGAATCTGAATGTATAGGCTAGGCTACAACATTGGTTTTATGCCTATTACTGGATTTTCTAGTTTCAAGTCCCTGAGCTCTCAAATGAGAAATAGGTAATTATTTTGTCATGTTTTCCGGTGTTATTTATACTGGTTTATATGGGTCCCATGTTATGAGGGTCGTTGGGCCCTTAATTAGGATCTTCCTCATTATAATCGTATTTACTATTTTTATGGCCTTTATTTATTGCAAAATTGTTGTACAACAATAAGGTTTTTAACATTTGTAAAAAATGTATCCGAGAGCTGTCTCGCTAGATCTAAACCACATTTAAACTCAAACGCAAATTATTTTTGTTTTAGGCCATTGCCGACCATGCCAAGATGGACGCCAGCACTCAACTCACTCAAGATGAGTTCATTGACTTCATCATTGGTCTTGCGGTCCTCAACCACATGTAAATATGCTTCGAATACTCACACTTTTTCATTGTACCATTGGAATTGCATAATTGCAATAATCTTTAGCTCATACTCACATTCTTGATTGTTGTAAATACAAAAATAATGTGTAATAATTTTTATACTCCGAACGGTAAACAATGAAATACATAAGTGCAAGAAATTTTTCCATCAAATCATGAAAATGCATTGACGATTATTCAATCTTGAGACCAAGCTGTGCTGGAGAGTTAAGTTAAAAAGTTATTTAGAATAGAATACATAAAATATACGATTCAACAAATGTGTCCAGCCTTTGCCGACTTACAGTATTGAAATTCATGAACTCTTTAGATTATATTGAAGATGTGCCTCCGTTTAAAAATACGAAGAAGAGACTAATGATTTTCCTCATGTCTTGTATGACAGGGAACATTATGTTAGAGATCCACACAGCCATTGACATGTAAACTTATATCGATTGTGTGTATTTCAGGGCAGCGAGAATCCGCAAGAAGATCAGACGCGAAATCCGCAAACGTGGTGGCAAATTGACACCCGAAGAGGTCATGGAAGTCGGCCCCATTCTTGGCAAAGATTTCAAGGAAGACGTGAGTAATAATCCGTTCCTTACAAATAAATTGTTTATAAGTTTAGCCGGTGTAAAAGGGTAGGAGGTCCTATCAAATTATGGTCCTACTCTCCATCGATTTATATGGTGACCTAAATACAACACTTTCCCTCATTATCTTATACGCAATCAGGGCCAGTAAGGGCCGTTAAGAAAGGGGACCATAATCCCTGGGGGACCATCATTTCTTTCACACCGGGTCATCCAAAAACTCGTAACCATTTCCTTACTTTTTAAGAATCTTAGGGGCTTGGTTTTGATTCATTTTGACATGTCCTTTTGAATTACAAATCTGAGAGCAAAATAATAATTAATCAACAATTATTCCCGTTTAGCATAATAAGGTTAACTTCTAAAGTGACCGCGACTGTAGAAATGTTACTGACCGCAGAACTGATAGACCGTACACGGTCGCCGTTGCAAATGTCACCAAGTGTCATTGACTTGGTTTAGAGTCGGTTAGTCTTCCGCTAACGTATATTATCAAAAGTATACAATCACTGAGTGGTTAGAAGTGAAAAGTATTATCCTTTGAAGGTAAAACAAATGTTGTTGATTGCAGGTCGCAAAGGGAATACTAGAAAAGCTGGCAAAGGATGGCGAAGGCAAAATCAACGGCGAGGAGTTCGTTAAACAATACACAGAGGCTGTGAGCCCAAAGAAATAATCTCAACCACATACTTTATAGGACAGTAATAGAACTGAAAGTAAGCTCCAGAGGTAGATGCAAATAAGGAATTTTCGCTTTCATATTCAATGTGTTAAGGTGCATTTGTATGAAAGTTTTCACTGGGAGGATGCACTACCAAAGACTGTGTACGTGCAATTCAATCAAATGATTTATTGCATACCCGTCTCTTTCAACATTGCTGAGTAAACCCTATTGAACGTGCGCATGTTCAAAAAATAAATCATATCCTTTTTCCTTTTTTGTATATATCGTATTTTGTTACATTTTTGTAAGAAATGAAACGTGTTGAAACAATACACGGAGGAGAGCTTCGACCAAAGTGATCATATGGGCAAGATGGCTACCCCTTGGTATTTCTTTCAATCCAACAGATGGCACTAGATGTAGTATATGTTACACAGAACGATACTATGTCAATGTGTAAATTACTTACAATGTTTAACATTTTATTGGATATACTCTAAATGACCTCCATCAGAGCTAGACTGAATAGAGTTACTTTGTGAAACTTTTAGATACTTATGATAATTAAATTGTTTGTCAGATTATAATTTCAAGAATATTCCTTAATCCGAATCTCTATAGCTAGTTATTTGGTTCATTTTAGGTCTTCTAATTCTTACGTGAACTTACGTCTCACTGCCCGTTGAAAACTACAAGTAGTTGCTACAATGCTCCAGGTAGTCACACATAAACATGGCACATTGCTCATTAGATTGCTTGACACGAGTTACATTCAAATGTAGATATAGGGAAGTTAAGCTACACGCTTTTAAGATAATCTGTACGCGAACGTGTAGAATTATGGTTCTTTAAATTATTATTTCTCCCCTTCGTAGTAGTTATTTGCCCAATGCGGTGTAAATGTAAAATGTAAATAGTTGTAATGAAGTCCCTGGGAAAACCAATTGAGACGGAGGCAGTATTCCCCGGGTTCATGATATCACATGTGCACGTACAAGTTCCCATAAACACATGTGCTAAAGGAGCAAAATGCGTAAATGAATTCTCATTTTTGATCTCCATAGTATTTCCCATGGATTAATAAGTACCTGATCCAGGACCGTCAGATGGGGGGGGGGGGGGGGGTGCGATGGGTGTGACCCTTTGTCACCCCCCAAAATAAATTTGAAAAAAAAATTTGAAAAATATTTTTTTTGTAATTTTTTTTCATTGACTCATACACTTTGAAAGTACCCAGAAAGCACCAAATAGCATCTTAAAATTGTAAAATTTTCTAGGGGTATTGGCCACCCCTCACACCCCCCACAAAACAATGGAAAAGTTCTAAATTTATTTTAGAGTTTTGTCTCAGACACTTTTAAAGTGCCCAGATATCATCAAATAGCTCCTTGATATAGTTAGTGTTTCTGGGGGACTTACTCCCCCTCTTGCATCTTGCACTTGCATAACCCCCCCCCCCCCCTCTGGCGCCCCCCCCCCCTTGTCCCCCCCCCCAAAAAAAAAATTGTGATTTTCTCAAATTCTTTAATTGGCTCATACACTTTGAAAGTGCCCAGAAAGCACCAAATAGCGTCGTAAAATTGTAAAATTTTCTAGGGGGAGTGGGCCACCCCCCACACCCCAAACAAAACAATGGAAAAGTTCTGAATTTGTTTTATGTATTGTCTCAGACACTTTTAAATTGCCCAGACATCATCAAATAGCTCCTTGATAAAGTTAATGATTCTGGAAGACTAACACTTACTCGCCCTCTGGCATCCCCACTCCACCTCCCCCTCTGGCAGCCCCCCTCCCTTAACACCCCCCCCCAAAAAAAAATATATATTGAGATTTTTCAATTTTTTTTATTGACTCATACCCTTTGAAAGTGCCCAGAAAGCACCAAATAGCATCTTAAAATTGTAAAATTTTCTTGGGAAATAGGAACTTTTATAGCACAGACACTTTTAAAGTGCCCAAACTTCATCGAATAGCACCTTCATATTGTAAATTTTGATATGAGGGACAAAACTTGCTCCCCCTGTGGCACCCCAGCCCCACCTCCCCCTCTGGCACCCCTCCCCCCCCTTTGACACCCCCAAAATTTGAAAAAATTGTGATTGTTTTTCAATGTTTTTATTGACTAATACACTTTAAAAGTGCCCAGAAGCACCAAATATCATCTTTAAATTGTAAAATTTTCTAGGAGAGTTAGCCACCCCTCACAATCCCCACAAAACAAAAGAAAATATTCTGAATTTCATGTATTGTCTCAGACATTTTTTAAGTGCCCAGACATCATCAAATAGCACCTTGATATGGTCAATGTTTCTGGGGGACAACCCCTTGCTCCCCTACTGGCACCCCACCCCATTTCACCCTCTCATCCTCTTTGACACCCCCAAAAGAATTTGAAAAAAATTCACATTATTCTTATTGACTCATAACGCACAGGCGTACCAGATGGTTGCAATTTCGCTCCAAATACAACCAAATTTCAGAATTTTCCTGGGGGAGAACCCCCAGACCCCCCTGAATGCTCGGTTTTTAATTCACTCAACTCTTATTCCCGTGGTGGTACTACTTAGAAACTTACACTTTGAAAGTGCCCAGAAAGCACTAAATAGCATCTCAAAACTAAAATTTTCTAGGGGGAGTGGACCACTCCTCACACCCCCCACAAAACAATCGGGACGTTTGGAAGTTGCATGCATTTGTTAATTCCAAACCAATATAGGGAGAAACTGACCCCCCTCCCTCTGTCTTAAGCGATTTGATTTACGCTGCAAAAAAAAATTATATTCTCTTTAGTAAGCTAAAAACCGCACCCCCCTTGGAGAAAAGTGTCTTACGGGCCTGTGATCTTTCATTTGACACCAAAAGCAGCTCAAACAGATCACATCAGAGTTCTATCAATTTGTATATGTCAAGTTTTTAGCAATGCCATTGAAAGATGGCATTGTTGTTTGTATTAACCATTCATTTTTGATAGGATTTTCAACCATACGTCATCTTTAAATCCAAGAGTTAGTAATGCAAGTAATTTTTTTCACTTCAGTATTGACCCAAATTAAAGTTTTTATCATATTTGATTGAGTGTGTGAGTTGCATGTCTCAAATAACATTTAGTCCTTTTTCCTTCAAAAATAGGCGCATTGCCTGTTTAACCTCCCTATTAAACTATTAAAGTTGTTCATGCTTCAGGTGAACCAGTGATGAGGAATTTGGTTAGTCTACTCAGTTGAAGTATATGCATCAGTTTTGCTCCATAAAAATGTTTGAATCTGAGTTTCCCAATCATGTATAAAAATACGCGAGGAAGGTGAGTGAATGTGAGTGTACCATCAATGAAGCTATACATTTGCTTGAACCTTTATGACATACTCTAGTGATTTATACATACACCGATTGTTCACATTACAACTAATAGGACACACTAGTGTTGTTTAGGTCTAACAAACCACTGTAAACAGGTAACTGTGTCAAAAAGAGAAGTGCTAATTTTTTATTCGACCTGATAATTTTTCTATTCCTAAAGCGAACACGTATCACAGTGTACTAGTAAATACATTTATTGTGCTGTTCAGGAGTGTATCCAAGGACATTTTTATGTAGGAGTAAAAAACATTTGAGGGACACAAAACGTTTTTGAAACTTTTTATAGTATTTTTCTATACAGTTTATTCATTGATATGTTACAGTGAACTAAACATGTTACCGTAAAACTAAACTTTACATGATAACACATCATCATCAGGCATAACGTTGACGCTATACAACCTTTAGAAATCCGCACATTTAATGAGGCTATTCAGTTAAAACCAAGATCTAAAATATACAAGCGTATACTTATTGACTTAGCTAGCTAGCACTGCCGAATATAGAGTGGATTAAAGTTCACTTAAGGAACAACTGATTGAGCAAGAACAGTGGCACAAAGAAATAACAAAGACTCATATAAACCATCGGAGTTCCTATTTGATTAGTAAGTTTTACCAATAAGCCCAATACTTCATGTACACGAGAATCAACAAGGAATTATTCGTAGTTATTTCTATGAAATTCGGGATTACATCTAATAATATTTCAACCAAGTAACACACACGACGACAACGATGCCCGCAGAAGCGTACAAAATGGATGGAAGTAAGGGTGATGGCCTGGTTCAACGGTCAGCAACACTGGGCGACAAGCATGATCGTGGACCGGCGTGCTGGAAAGCTTTCGCAATCATTATGTTTCTCTGTGCAATAGGACTTGCTGTGGCATTGGCAGTGCTTTATATTCAACAGCAGAACGAAATTGCACGACTTCAAAAACAAATCCTGGTGCCACATTCAAGTGGCGATGCTACCGTGAACGCTACCGATGCATAATAAAAGCAATGTTTTTGGTCACTGGTAACACTTGTCTTCTATAGTACATATATTCGATTAAGTTTGAATCAAATAACAATATACTTCACTTACTATAGACTTGTTTTGCACAAGCGGCCAACAGTAATCGAAATGAGGGAATATGAGATGTTCGCCGTCAACAGTGACGGAATGTGGATTTTATATGCTTTTATGAGAAAGGGGATGAATATTGAGCCAGACATTTTGCATTATGTCTAATACAAAAATTATGCTGCTATGCTTTATGCTATGACTATACTGCATTATTTTTTTCTATACCCATAAAACACTAATAGAACTACATCCAGAGACCTCCATTCAGGTTTGATGACCCGTATCCGAACATTTTTAAAGATGCTAATTTGGCGTTGTATTTTCACGCGAGGCAGGCACGCAAGATCTGAACAACATTAAGAGCATGAGTTCTGAAAAAGAAGAATACATCTCAATTATTTTCAAAGCAGTATTTGAACGTCATTTGGTCCCTGGCAGTCATCAGATGTTTCCTTCTTTCGCTGTTGGACCAGCAGCATACATCTTCTGGTTGATGCTGAACATCGATGTGTTTTTGCATGATACAATCGTTTGATTTCACGTATATCACGCAACCTGAATGTCTGATGCATTTATTCGTTATTGGCTGCTTATGATTTGAATGTATGTAGCTATTATAGATGTCAACATATTGAGCAAACATATGGAAGAGATCTGAATTTAAAAACTCGGGTGAATCACAGAGCAGGCCGTAGTGTTCATCCAACAAATTGGAAAAAAGATTTGTGAAGAACTTGTATCAATATAGACTTGGAAATCAGCTCTTTGGACAAATTATTTTGTTGCACAATTGGTCATAATCTACAAGAGTTTCCCTATAATACATCCATTAGGCGTATGTTTATTTACTTTCATTTTAAAGCATCCGCAAAACACACACGGGTGTTTAAAAAGAGAGAATTGTTGATTCTTTGGATAGTGAATGTCAATTTTGGGTGAAATACAGACGAAAATAAGTCACTATTAAAACGTTTACTTGTCTATACTCCCGACACCATGATATAAATGGTGTCGTTTTTTATTTACAAAAACAAGAAACTATGTGTTCTAAAATGGTACACATGTGATAATTGATTTTATAAAAAACATATTTCAAATGCAAAATCTCTTCCTCGAATACTTCGCCCACTAAGCGTTTATTTGAATTAAAGCATTCGAAAATGTACTCATTTTAAAATAAACGCCACTCACTAGTAGCGAAAAACTCCGGAACTCTATCTAATTTGAGCAATGCAGTTCACAAAGAACATGCTATTCTTTGTTTAGAAGACAAAAAACTCAGTTTTCAGTCGGGGGGGGGGGGGGGGGTGCGATTGTGGCAAAAACAATCCCAAAAATTAAGATTGGCCTTTTAATCTTAACTTTTGCATTTACCTTTGTTGTAGAACAGCACCTCAAAACTAAATCATAGTGATAATATATCGGATGTCCCAAAAAAGTGAGACACTTTTTGACAAGTATTTTCTCAGGAATTGATAAACCTTTACTGAAAATGTGTACAAAGCAGCAGCACAACAGAATCTTTATCAAGTTGTTAAAATATAAAAAAGATCAAATATATGCAATGCGGGGACTAATAAATTCAAAATAGCGTGTCATGCTAGGCGATGAGACCTTCGTAGTGTTTGTGCCAGCTATCATCAGCTTTTCTGCGTGTCATGTCCAATCAATTCGTTTCAGTATTCCCAAATATCCCAAATCCATTCATTCCCATCTAAATTCATTGAAGGTGATATTGTTAGAATAAATATTAAACAATTTTTGACATGCCGTCTTTAATTCAACAATACTTACAAAACATGTGTGTCAAGTGTCTCAAGTAAAGTTTTCAAAGAAATTGGCTCATCATAGCTGAGAAATAACTTGTCAAATTGCTTCCCATTTTTGGTACAAACGTTATGAAGTTCTAATTGCGTTGCTCCGGTAAGGGATCTTTTGACATGCTATCTTGAGATTTCTTAGTACTCAGATAATAATTACTTGATCTTCTTTATATTCTTGTTAAAATTTGCTAATGATACTCTGTGGCTACGTTGTACAAATCTACAGGGGATTTGGTTTATCAATCGCTGATGTGATAAATTACTGTGATAAAATGCTGTCTCACCTTTTTGGGACACCCGATAGATATCGAGAGATACCATGATACGCATGCATAAAGAAATAAAACAATATAAATATATGGCTCGCACTTAGTCGACAGTTTAAGAACTCTCTCAGAACATATCTGCCGATTGCATCATGATATCTATCTGTATGAGATAGGGCATATACATTATCACTAATAGATACACATTTAGTGCACGTGCAACCATATCCCATCCTATCCTCAAATTCACTGATATCCCAAAAGCATGTAAAGTACACCGCGATGTAGCCTGTATTGATAGAACTCAAACAAATGATAAGATAGCAGAAGATAACCATAACCGACGTATCTGTCCAAATGATGAGCAAGTGAAATTAGTCCATCATAGTTTATTAGCCCATCAGGTTCACAAAAATGTTGACGTTGGTTTTGGTAGCGTCTCTGCTGGCGTTAGTAAATGGTCATGGACGGATGATCAACCCTGCTGCAAGAAACTGCATGTGGCGTTATGGGTTCAAGAATCCTGCCAACTATGACGATACTGCACTCTACTGTGGAGGCCTTCAAGTAAGCGTACCATATGGTGAACCTGAAGTTCGATCAGTTAGGTTCAGCTTATGTTCTGGGTTTCAGATGCTTGGATATATAAAGTATTTGAAGTATGTTATTTAGTGGAAAGAATGAATTATTTTCCGACACATCTGTAGTTATTGTAATACAGGGATTGGGAAAATTCAAAAATAAACTTAGATTCCTAAGGTTTGAAACGTAGCAATAACTACAACAAATAATTCTCCCGTTTTAGGACTGAAATAATATGGAGGTTAAGCTTGACGTGTTAAGAGAACTTGAACGTGAACTTGTACAATTAAGGACTTCTAGGGATTAGCTCTTCCCTTGGTTGTAATTACCTGCGGCGACCTTGCGGTCTATCATTTCTGCGGCCAGTAACATTTCTACGCTCGCCGTGGAATTTCTGCGCTCTCATACTTTTGCAGTCACATTTCCCACGGCAGCCGCATGGTGAATTTTAAATTTCTGTTGATAAATAATACTTTTTTCATTTTATTTACATCGGGACAACTTATAAATGTTATTCATAGTGCTAGGATGTAATATCAAATGAAAAGTGATCGTTAAACATTGACAAATAATGATTTAATCTTGTTGAGCCAGTTGATTTCTCCGGCGACCTCAGAAATGAACAAAAATTATAACTCCGAGTTATAATTTCTACGCCTTCCCTGCGGCCTGTAAAAATCTGCATACGCCGTACGGAGGCCGCAAGGCGAGCGTAGTTTTTCTACGCTCACCGCAGATATTCACCGATTTAATTGATCTGCGGTCGACTTGCGGCCGCCGTGCGACACTTGCGGCCTCCGTACGGTGTATGCAGATTTTTACAGGCCGCAGGGAAGGCGTAGAAATTATAACTCGGAGTTATAATTTTTGTTCATTTTTGAGGTCGCCGTAGAAATCAACTGGCTCAACAAGATTGAATCATTATTTGTCAATGTTTCACGATCACTTTTCATTTGATATTACATCCTAGCACTATGAATAACATTTATAAGTTGTCCCGATGTAAATAAAATGAAAAAAAGTATTATTTATCAACAGAAATTTAAAATTCACCGTGCGGCTGCCGTGGGAAATGTGACTGCAAAAGTATGAGAGCGCAGAAATTCCACGGCGAGCGTAGAAATGTTACTGGCCGCAGAAATGATAGACCGCAAGGTCGCCGTAGGAAATGTGACTGGGGAGTTAGATTATGATCTGAAATATATGGGATTTATTTGAATTTGTTTATGACTGGTCAGGCCCATGTGCATACTTTGTTTTGTAATACTTTTTTCCTTCCACGTATCATTCTGAATAATCTGCCATTTGACAGAGAAACCTTAGATGCGTCACTGTTTGACTAATTGGTTGACTTCATTTGAACAGACTAAACTCTAGTTATAAAATCTCCTAATATCTGGTTCTATGATATCTGTTATCTCACGAACATGAATTGGTGATACATCTGCAATAAATACTGATACGGCTATTCAATTTGTAGAACCAAGTCAAACAAGGAGGTAAATGTGGTACATGCGGCGACGCCTATCAAGGACCAAGACCACACGAGGCCGGAGGAAAATATGCCAATGGTGTTATCGCTAAAACCTACAAACAGGGGCAGATTGCTGAAGTCACCGTCGAATTGACTGCAGGTCATATGGGATGGATGGAATTCAGGTTTGTGTTGCGACCGGTGTATTAATGGTATTACAAATAGTTTGAAAAGGGGATGGGCGAACTAGGTAAATTGTGCTATTACTTGTTATTGTATCATTGTAGATTGTGCAAATGGGACAACCCAAAAGTCCCAGTGACACAGGAATGCCTAGACGAGAATGTCCTTCAGCTCGCCGATGGTTCAGGCACCAAGGTTCCAATTGATAACACAAAGAGGATGATCATTGCCAGGCTACAGCTTCCCAAAAACATCAACTGCAAACAATGTGTGGTGCAGTGGTTATACCACGCAGGTAACCATTGAATATAAAGCACAATATGTGGTGCAGTGGTTATACCACGCAGGTAACCCTTGAATATAAAGCACAATATGTGGTGCAGTGGTTATACCATGCAGGTAACCATTGAATATAAAGCACGATATGTGGTGCAGTGGTTATACCATGCAGGTAACCATTGAATATAGAGCACGATGTGTGATGCAGTGGTTATACCACGTAGGTAACCATTGAATATAAAGCACGATATGTGGTGCAGTGGTTATACCATGCAGGTAACCATTGAATATAGAGCACGATATGTGATGCAGTGGTTATACCACGTAGGTAACCATTGAATATAGAGCACAATATGTGATGCAGTGGTTATACCACGTAGGTAACCATTGAATATAAAGCACAATATGTGGTGCAGTGGTTATACCATGCAGGTAACTATTGAATATAAAGCACGATATGTGGTGCAGTGGTTATACCACGTAGGTAACCATTGAATATAGCGCACAAGGTGTGGTGCAGTGGTTATACCACGCAGGTAACCATTGAATATAGAGCACAAGGTGTGGTGCAGTGGTTATACCACGCAGGTAACCATTGAATATATTTAGCACAATATGTGGTGCAGTGGTTATACCACGCAGGTAACCATTAGATATAAAGCACAATATGTGGTGCAGTGGTTATACCACGTAGGTAACCATTGAATATAGAGCACAATATGTGATGCAGTGGTTATACCACGTAGGTAACCATTGAATATAAAGCACAATATGTGGTGCAGTGGTTATACCATGCAGGTAACCATTGAATATAAAGCACGATATGTGGTGCAGTGGTTATACCACGTAGGTAACCATTGAATATAGCGCACAAGGTGTGGTGCAGTGGTTATACCACGCAGGTAACCATTGAATATAGAGCACAAGGTGTGGTGCAGTGGTTATACCACGCAGGTAACCATTGAATATATTTTGCACAATATGTGGTGCAGTGGTTATACCACGCAGGTAACCATTAGATATAAAGCACAATATGTGGTGCAGTGGTTATACCACGCAGGTAACCATTGAATATAAAGCACAATATGTGGTGCAGTGGTTATACCATGCAGGTAACCATCGAATATAAAGCACGATATGTGGTGCAGTGGTTATACCATGCTGGTAACCATCGAATATAAAAAGCACGATATGTGATGCAGTGGTTATACCATGCAGGTAACCATTGAATATAAAGCACGATATGTGGTGCAGTGGTTATACCATGCTGGTAACAATCGAATATAAAGCACAATATGTGGTGCAGTGGTTATACCATGCTGGTAACCATCGAAGATAAAGCACAATATGTGGTGCAGTGGTTATACCATGCTGGTAACCATCGAAGATAAAGCACAATATGTGGTGCAGTGGTTATACCACGCAGTTAACCATTGAATATAAAGCGCCGACATTGAGAGGTAAAGTCATATAAGCATACACAAAGCAGAGCAAGATCGTCACGTAAGATTATTAAAAACATCGCGAATTCTTATTAACGGCATTAACGCCAATGAATACTTGCAGGCAATAGTTGGGGATGCGAGCCAAATGGTAAATGTTGCTCTGGATGCGGTACACAAGAGGAGTTTAAGAACTGCGCTGATGTTGCAATTGAACCTTCTACTTTCACCCCAGCAACCCAGGTAATCATACAAGTATAAAATTGACAAGGAAATGACTAAACGGGAATTGATAATTACTGTTTGGGTGTACTGTTATTAGATTCTCCATTTAATCCCAGTCCCAACCAAGTACATAAGCGAAATGTAGTGAAGCGAAATGTTTCCTTTGCATTATTCAAATAATTGGTTCTTTACATTGGATTTCTTCAGAAATTATGTGTCTAACATATATTTCCAGAGACCCCCTTCTACAAAAAGGACTTATGAACCACCAATGGAGACCACCCCATCTACTAGAGTACCATCAACAAGAGCACCTTCAACTAGAGCACCATCCACAAGAGCACCTTCAACTAGAGCACCATCTACAAAAAGGACTTATGAACCACCAATGGAGACCACCCCAGCTACTAGAGTACCATCAACAAGAGCACCTTCAACTAGAGCACCATCCACAAGAGCACCTTCAACTAGAGCACCATCCACAAGAGCACCTTCAACTAGAGCACCATCTACAAGACCTCCAACAAGGCGTACCACACCTCCAACAAGGCGTACAACACAAGCCATAAGGTAAATTCATTAATAGCCATTGATCACGCCTTATACCTGGTTAGTTCGAATCAATGATTTGGCTAGTAGAAAACGGAACTCAACAATGAGGGTAAATAAGAAGGTAAGCTACAGGAGGTAGAAAGCCAACGCACTAATTTAAAATAAATTAGCTTGTCGAAGATAGTATGACAGTATTCTAATATTAAAGTATAGTATATTATTTAATATTTTAGGACTACTCCACGAAAGCCTGTTGGATGTCGAGCTGCTAATGGTCCATTCAAACAACCAGGCATGGACAGATGGTGCCAGGTCAACTGTAGGCGTAAATATTGTCCTCCCTCACATTGTGTCTGCTAATTCCACTGCTGTATATGTATATGCTTTAATAAATAAACCTATACTAGAGAGAATTATCAGAACAATAAAATATGATAGCCATATTATTTACACATCATAAATTTTTATTATGAAAACAATCAACGCATCTTTTACCTATAACATATAATATCTTAAACTGATGCTGCAAAATTAAAAACAGAATTGCGTGCTGTAATAATCATTCAATGGAGCCAGTTAGATTAATTGTTCTCAGACAAGACACGGTAATGATTCTTGCATACACTCTGCCCAACCAACGTTGACCGACCATCGACATACTCCTCGTCTGGGCCGACATACTGAATGTTTTGCATAACAGTTTTGTAGTGTATTTCCTATAGTCACATTTGAATCGTTGGTTAGTATCCATGGGCATGTGGCTGTGGTGTTTGAACACGTGCGATGATTCCCGTTTTTGTAGATAAATGAAGTCACTTCTGCCAGATATGGAGCAATGGTAACAGGTTGGATCGAATCCTGAAAATAGTAATTTAGCATGTTAACATATCGCTGAAAATGAAAACATAGTCTTCAGTAATGATATTTGATAGGGACTCTATGAGGATCGGTTCAAACGAACGATGAATGATGCAAAAAATCACAAAATACCGCACTGCAGAAGAAATAAACATTAAATATACTAGTTTAGTGATTTGAATGACTAGTGATAATTAAAGGACTCCTTCAGGGTCATAAATTCCTGACAGATATTGTAAAATAAGGTTAGATACGTAAATATATTACTTTAACTTATCATATGTAATAAAATACAATTGTATACCTGCCGATCAATAATATAGTTATCTTACCACACATGCACAATTTTCTCCATAAGTATTCCAATCTAATTTTCTTTTCTGTCTTCTACTTGTATGCCTCCACATCTGACTCCACGAACATGTTGATAGAACCGCTTTGTCACCATCAACTCTGCCTAAATGACTCAAAGGAATAGGTGGAAATGAATTGTTAATATTAGATAGAGATACACGTATTCCATCTCACACAGTTGATATTACTTGGCTAAAGTTGTTAATTTTAGGGCTTTACTCATCTTATTACAGATGACCAAATCTATGCATACAATAGCACCCTGCGACAAACCATGGATAGAGGTCCATGGACAAACTCAACAATTTTAATTCAGCTTCTTAGTGGAAACTAATAAGGGAGAGGGGGCAAATTTCAAGTACTTCTGATTTCGAACATCTAAGGCCCATTTTTTGAAAATCTTGCTAAAATTTAAAATACAAGGCCAAAAAGGCCAAGTAATGCCCAAAAAAGTCCTGACTAATTAAAGCCCTTAAGTTTTTGGTCTAAATTTTTAAGCCCAAAATATCTTTTCTGGGACCATTTTACGGGAGAGGTTGGGCCCCTGCCCCCATCCCCCTAATCCGCAAGTGGCTCTTCGATTGACAAGTAATAAAGTTTATACATTTACCTGTAATGACGTATTTCTGTCCAGTCTCTAATATAACCGCTGTCTCACAGCCCGCAGTGCTATTTGATATAGTTGTCAATTCTTCCGGTTGTGTAGTAGTCAACATATCTTTTCCCTAAATGGTGCAAGAAAAATAGATTGATACAAAGGAAGTTAAGGATGCATTTGACAATTTAAGGATGAACAAAATGGTCTCGCCTTAAGTACTTCTAGTTCTTGATTTACACAATTCAGTATATGTTCCATACATACGCTTTATTGACGGATTCATTGCTCCATCACAAGTGATCTTACTTTGAAAATGGTTTCGGTTTTGATGGAGTAAGTAATACGTTTCTCCGTGGCTGACAAGAACATTGTCTTCTTCCTGTCACATACTGCAAGTATCACTGAAAAACATCTTTGAATTTTCAAACAGTAAGAGTACTAATTGTTACATATATAAAGATGATAGATGATAAATGATGTCATGATTCTTCTTTATCAGATCATCAGCGTGATCTAGAATATGCCAAGGTCACTGTTTGAGGGTTTCAGTCATGTGCCCATTTGGCCACAACTGTAGATAATACATAACCCGACAAATATGAACAAATATATAACACATACACATAGGTATACTTTGATCTACAATTTACCTTTAAAATCAAATCATTTATCCGACGCCATGATACCAAAGGACTTACCAAAGTCAGCCTCACAGAAGTGTTGCTGGGGATGTTTTATTGGACAGTCGCATTTATCCAAGCATTGTACCATAATATTCAATCTTACAGCAGCAAATACAAACAATATGCCTAAAACCATAAATGTGCCCTTTTAGTGAGTGAATGAGAATGATATGTATAAGTGTCGATCATTGACCTGCGTTTTGATTTAGACATGCACAAAACATTAGGCTCGCCGATTTATCAATTTATTGCAAGTTTGTTTCCGAGAAATGAATTCCACAAAAACTTTTGAACTATTTCTAATAATTTCTTGTAAAAGGCATATTTTCCGTACTAAGTTTTCAAGAATAAAATTTCCCAAAAGGTACTTGTTTATCCTCTTGAAAGTCGTAAAAATATAAAGGTTTCTTGTGGCTTGTCCAACTTTCCATAAGCTTAATAATATTGCTTGCATGGCTATTGGATTATTATGAGATTAAGTGCAAGCTATATGACAATATTGACAATATATTATGTATATCAAGACTTACCAGCAGCATTTATTTAATAAAGAAGATGAGAAGAACTTACCAATAATTATGTTATTGGCCATTGTCTGTGTAATTTTCTATTACTTCTTTCCATAAATAAATATAAACATGTCTTTCTTTGCTTTAACAAGTTATGTTTAGGTTGACAAAATTCATTCTTTATTCTTTTAGATCGTTTAAGTTTGATGAAAATGAGATGAGAATGTAATGTGTTAAAAACTACATTGTTAGAAAGTATACGTCCGTTTCATAATTATTTAATGACTAAATGACGTCACAGTGTTATTAGTTCAGTCATTAAAACAAATGGCCGTGAAATGGCTGAAGGGCCCCGTTACGATGGGATTTTATTGTTTCAAATAAACAATTAATAACACAATTAGATTTGTGCTATCCAGTCATGCGAAATATATTTGCATATTAGTATTGTAGGACATTAAAGAAGAAATACAACATTTCATATACATGTTTGAAAAATGTCCCTATATTTCTGAATATTTATAATAGGGCATCTTATGTAATAAAATATGTCGAAAATTTAGCGTACAATGCAATTCACATGTATGTAGTGCAGATATATGTTTTTTTACTCATGAATTTTCTGATATTAGATACAACGAACCCAAATGTCATTTATGTGGTATTAGATCCCACTTAAGTAGCAACACAATAGAATGAACTGGTGTATTTTTCTCTTATTTTTTGAAGAATTGACATTTGGCAAGCTATCCAAAAACCAGTGTGGCACAATAGACGATTGTCTGTCACATGCAGTGCACTGAAGTCGAACTTATAACATCCTATTCACTTATTCAATAGTTGAATAGTAAACACAAAAGAAATCAAATTTTAAACAGTACCCAGCCTGCCACATGCAGTGCACTGAATCTAAAATAATAACACCAAATTATTTCTCAACACACCTCATAGTCAATACATAAGAAATAAAATTTTCCCAAAGTTGGATCATTGGCCATTTACTTTTCATAAGATACAGTGTGGGTTTAAGTTAGATAAACCATTCGTACTGGGGTTTATGCGAGTTAATAATTTCTCATAAATCCCAGTACTCATAGTTTATCCATTACAGATAAACGGATGTCACTTTGATGATGATCTACTGAACTTTCGGGCCAATATATCGATTCTAGCAATAACTATATATATCATTCCTCCAAGTAAAGGGAACAGAGACGAGTTGAGAGTAAGTCATGCCTTCTTTCTATAATTCAGGAAAATCCTTTAATTTCCAATGTAATTTGGTAAAACAGTAAACGTCCTCTTTTCAACTCTGATAAATTCGTGCATCTTTAATACTCAACAACCTCTTTATTTAATCAGATATTTTTACTTTTAATCATTATATTTTTATAGCTTTTTTATATCTTTCCAGATCTTTTTCAAATATTATAGTTAGGGTTGTAATGGAGACATTAGCACGCTTATTGAAACTGAATATTGCTTCCGACACTTATTTATTTGTTATTCCCTTTATTTTAATTTCGTAAAATAAAATAAAATATAGTGAAACAGATGTTATCTCAAGCGGGGACACACTACTATTAAAAAGGGCATATTTCACTACTCTCCATGAAAAAGCAACTTATTCAATTGTATAGGGTGACACAAAAACACCACCCACTAATTTTTGAATAACTTTCTCAATAATTAAAGAATCTACATGCTTCTTTTGTGTAAATAGAGTGTTCAATGGAAAACATATTGTACTTTGATAGCATCGACAACTTTCAGATTGAGAAATATCAGATTTCCGTCAAGGCAAGCTCTCGGTGAAATCATCAAAAAATGTTCAAAAATACATTTTTTATTTGCGTCATTTCTGGAATGCTCTCATCAATAACATTGAAAACTAATTTTGTCAAATTTGATGAACTGACTCGCTTATTGGGTAAATTTTAAGAAAGACATACATGTATATTCTAATGTACTTTTTGAGTGATTTTGTGTCAGAAAATGGGATATCTCTACACATCTCTACACAAGCATACCAATCCTTTTTCCATTGAACACTCTGTCTACACATAAAAATCATGAAGATTCCTTAATTATTGATTTATTCCATAATTAGTGGGTGGTATTTTTGTGTCACCCTGTATTAATGCTCTATGTACATCATTATTTAAAATATGGTATTTATGTAATTTAGTTTGTCTCATCCTCGATCCTTCCCATACACACGCTGTATAAAGTGTTACTGATGCCAGAAGAGTAATCGAGAAGATAATTTTTTAAAATCATTTTAAGAAGCAATGACGCTATTAGATTGAAAAGTATTGTTAGTTGTTGAGAAGAAAATAAAATTCTAAATTAGGTTGGATTAATAATTACGTTATAGGGATCTAGAGATCTGGCCCTAAGTTTTTGAGTACTAATTAACACCCCAGTCACATTTCCTACGGCGACCTTGCGGTCTATCATTTCTGCGGCCAGTAACATTTCTACGCTCGTCGTGGAATTTCTGCGCTCTCATACTTTTGCAGTCACATTTCCCACGGCAGCCGCACGTTGAATTTTAAATTTCTGTTGATAAATAATACTGTATAACCCCAGTCACATTTGTCGTACGGAGGCCGTGCGTCGACCACAGATCAATTAAATCAGTGTATTTCTGCGGCGAGCGTAGAAAAACTACGCTCGCCTCGCGGCCTCCGTACGGCGAATCCAGTTTTTTACAGGCCGCAGGGTCGCCGTAGAAATTATAACTCGGAGTTATAACTGGTATCAGTATCATATGTTTAAGAAAATGTACATATGTGCGAACAAATAGTTCAGAAGACAACAGAATCGTCGATTTAATTCTTCACTTAAGTTACGTAAACGGGTTTTCGAAAAACAGTTAAGATCTGCAAATCGTTTATGTAACTTAAGTGAGGAATTAAATCGACTGAGCTATTTTTTCGCAAACATGAACTTTTTCTAAAACATATGAATGATATGATACTAATACACGTTTGTGAGAAAGAACGTCGTGGGGATTCTGCCTACAACGCGTGGAATAAGGAAAAAATAAAAATCGTACCTTCGACGTTCCGACATTTTGTTACCAAAACGAATCGTTTCGGTAACCAACGTAATCGAGTGGATCACCAGTGCAGCTTACTATCATTACGAACTGTCACACAACCACGCGATGGACAGTACCTCGATCGGGTTGTACGTTTATGTTTAATATAATTTATATGTGTAAAGTGTATACACTGAGATGTATACACATTTTTAATTAGTATTAGAACAAGCCGGATATCTTGTTGAAGCCTTTGTTTGAATGTTGTAAAAAGTCATAACACAAAAACGTCCGGAGTAAGGAACGTCTGCGCCGTTTTCAATAACAAAATTTTGCGTAGTAGTCATTAAGTGATTTCATTCTTAGAAAATGTGTTACCATAGTGAAATCGTGTCGAAGTACCCCCGGCACTAACATATTTTAACAGCAAGTGTATATTAAAGAAAGTAAAAGACTGAAATGTACGAACTTTTTGATAAATCAAAATTGGCAATTTTGTATAATTTGTAAGAATTAGTACCCCTTGGATTCGTTCGGCTTCGCTTTTTAAAAGAGAGATTCGTGTAGTTTCTAATAAGCACGCAATGTAAGGCAAATATCACACTATTTATGAGTAGGTCATGTGTCTATTTAGATAGGATAGCACTGTCTCTGTCAACAACATAAATAACGATTGGCATCTGTTAACACATCATAATTTTTTATTCTGATAACAAGCAACGCATCGTTTTACCAAAATGTGATATATAGGGTGTCTTAAAAATGTACCCAAAAGTATATCAACAGCATGACAAACCAATCAATATTTTCAGACATTTTTGCATGTTCTTGTAGATAAAAGATGAAAGTTTTCTCCCCAATACACCATTTTTATTTCAGTCTTGTCCTTTTGATGCTTTAACCCGTTACCTTTTACACCACATATTTAATGTAACCTCATATTTCGATGACAGTCTGCATCATTACTACTACATTGTTCATCACATTGGATATTTCTGGTGTTTGTCTGTGTTTGTTCGATCGTCATCCTCAAACATCTTTCTCTGTGGCTATTTGGAGGAGTGTTTTAAAGTGTCTCACATATTCGATCAAAAGTTGCCATGCAAACATGTTAGTCTACTTTACTGGCCCCCCTTGCTGTAACAAGGAACCCAAAACACATTAAAACGTAAACATAAACCAATTAGTCACTTCACTATGAAAGTGGGGGTGTTAGCAAATGTATATTAGCAGAATACGCTGTGTGCATGGACTAACCAATATCAGTGGTCATTTACTGTGTCAACTTAGTAACCCTTGCATATCGTGCTCACTCAAGTATTGAATAATTTTTTTATGATCTAAATGTTTGTGGTTTATAAAAAAAAAGTGATATATTTTAGTTAAAAATACATTAATTAATATATTCATTCAAACAGCACTAGAATGCGGGAAGAAAGAGCAATGGTGACAAAATGCAGACAGAATTTTCCGTAAGGGTTTCAAACATTTCTGGACACAATCATACATGTACTTCATGTGTACTGTTATTTTTAGTGCTGTATTTATAGATATAATTTCACGTATTAAAATCATATTTTCCAGCAATGACTTCAAATCCGGAACCACACCCATATCACATTTTCTTCAATAACTCCAAACATGTGTAAACATTGACCATGTGCATATAAATTCAGATTTCACGAGCTCTTTCCTATTCGAGTACCTCATACACCCCTGCATGGATTTGAGTTGGATTCGCCTTTTATACGTGAGCCGACACACTCGCAAACGCTGATTGGATAAAGATTGCGAGAATCTTTAATGCTCATTCCAAGCAAAAAGATCTAGAACAACTTTAGGGCAACATCCAAAGAGAAATCCAAACATTATCAAATGTGATGAACAATGTACCAGTAAGGATACAGGCTGTCATCGAAATATGAGGTTACATCGATTATATGGTGTACAATGTAAAGGGTTAAAGCATCAAAAAAGACAAGACTGGAATAAAAATGGTGTATTGGGGAGAAAACTTTCATGTTTTGGCTACATGACCATGCAAAAATGTCTGAAATTGGTTTATCTGTGCATTTGATATACTTTGGGGTATACCATATGAGACACCCTGATTGTTATGCGTTTTCATTATTTTACATTTATTAGCTTTAATGATCATCCAATAGACATCTAGCCAGATCAATATATGTCAGATGAGACATGGACGTACATCCTGCATACATTCTGCCCAACCAACGTTGACCGACCATCGACATACTCCTTGTCTGGGCCGACATACTGAATGTTTTGCATAACAGTTTTGTAGTGCATTTCCTATAGTCACATTTGAATCATTTGCGAGTATCCATGGACATGTTGCTGTATTGTTTGAACATGTGCGATAACTACCATTTTTGTAGTCGAATGCATTTACTTCTATCATATAAGGATCAATGTCAACAGATTGAATTGAATCCTGAAATTAATAAAGCATATTTGCTTTTACATGCACTATTGTTGTGGGATAAATTCATATGAATGTATACACATAGTAGGACTTAGATTGCATTTAAAATGTTAACATTGGACGTCTATCATATGTAAAGGAAATAAAGGTGAAAATATTTAATAATCTCACCACACATTTGCAGTTTTCCCCATATGTATTCCTCGATAATTTTCTTTTCTGTCTCATACTGGTATCCTTCCAACTGATGCTCCAAGAGCAGGTAGGTAGAATAAGTTTGTCACCATCAATTTTGCCTAACAGAAGTAAGTTAATAATGTACATTTACATAAACACGAGAGAACAAAATGTTAACATCGACTTTTTAGGGATACATTGAAGGAGTTATTATCTCACGTCTTTCACTCACTCTTACTGCATAATCATTTTAGCACATATACTTACATACTTTTAGAAGGAGTCAATAAATTAATACGACAACTGTTTGAAACATATACTTGCATTGACCACTATATGTACATAGTTCCACCAAAACATCAGCATTTAGAATTAACATGTTATTTGGTATATGAAAGGCTTGTCACTAGTCCTTACCTTTTTGATGATATTAACTTTGATAAGAACAAACCAGACTGACCCACGGCTCGCCTAGGCACCTTTAATAGTAACTGAAATATATGTATATTTCTAGTTTGTACATACCTGTAATGACGTATTTCTGGCCGGTCTCTAACATAACAGCTGTCTCACAATCAGCATTATTGGATATAGTTGTTAATTCATCTTGCTCTATATTAGCTAACGCATCTTTTCCCTGTAAAGTGTGATGATAAAAGCAATGAAAGGGACTTGACACGGGGAACTTGACTCGGCAAAGGGACTCAAAAATACATTTGGTAACATAAAATGCTTTTGCTTAAACACTTTCATTTCTTGATATGATGCATGTGTAGCATACATCATATACTAAAATAACTCAATGATGATCTAACCTTGAGAATGGTCTCAGTTGTTATGGAATATGTTATTTTCTTCTCAGTGGCTGACAAAAACATCGTCTTCTTCCGGTCACAAACTGCAAGTATCACTGAAAAATAACAAAAATATGAATCAATTCTACAGTTTTGAAGTTAGTTTTGCGTCTCTACATGTATATATTAAGGTAACATAAAAAACAAAAAAAATACAACAAAGAAGTAAGATTCAATAATGATATCGTATATATATAATCAGAGATATATAAATGTTGTCTCTGATATAATTTTATGGTATCGATTACATAATTTATGTTTCATAACTAAGCCAAAAGATGGTATCACCTTGTCACATTATGTATCATTTCAAAAACTGAACAAATCAATAGACTGAATCTTCTCATCTCTGTACATTGGACAGTTTAAGAAGACAAGAGACTATATGATTGAGACATATTTCAAATGTATTACTAAAACTAATTACCTAAATGGACATTGCATGCTTTATTTACAATTTAAAGGCCCACTATATATACTTAATTTAGAAGAAAAAATTATCATTGAAACATATTACTCACACACTCGCTCAAATATGAAACAAAGTTTGATCTGCTTTTATATTGAACCAAGAAAAAATAAATGACATAGAAAAAAGCTTTTAAAGTTCAGAGACCATTAGACATGCATGCACATGCTAAACAAAGTGCATATTTTTTAATTACTTTTGATTAAAACGATGGCGAAACTTCTATAAAAATGAATGTATCATGAAATACAAACAACTTTGCCATCTTTAAGTGACATTGATAAAAACTTGATATATAAAGCTTGGCAGATCGAAAATATATTTTGATTAATTATTGGCAGCTTTGATGTGGTCCGTTTGAGCTGTTGTTGGTGTCAAATGAAAGATAGGGTTCTTATCAGTACATTGGACATTCTATGGAATTCAAATAGAATTCAAATTCACTTTGCCCAAAAACATTGAAAATACGCAAAGTGGGCCTTTAAGCTCAGGTTCAATGAATTGTGGATACTTTTGAGCATGAATGTTTTGTATCATGAGTTTGGATGAGGACAGCGGCCTGAATTCAAAGGCTAGAATACAGTATACAAAATTGAATGCATTATATCACTAACAATTCATTGAGGCCTAAATTCTTATACCATGCCTAGTCCAAGTAGTAGCTATTTGTGTATATTATTAAAATATAGTTAGTTATAAATGTAAACGTCATGTTCCAAAGGACTTACCAAAGTCAGCCTCACAGAAGTGTTGCTGGGGATGTTTGATTGGACAGTCGCATTCATCCAAGCATTGTACGATGATATCCAATCTTAGAGAAGCAAATACAAACAATATGCCTAAAAATGTAATGATGTTCATGGTCATCGAGATTGTTTGGCAACTATGAATAATAGAACAAATGCTATATCACCGAAAACCAAATTGAGGTACAAAAGAAAATACTCCATGTGTATCTTAAAGGTGCAACAATTAGTGCAGGGGGGGGGGGGGCATTCAACGATCATCGACCAGTGTCAAAATATATTTAAGTTTGGACATTTCATAAAGACTAACATATATTTTTATTTTCTCCAAAGAAACCCCCTGGATGAACATTATTTCAGCTGATATTCCTCTTGAAACGTGATGGATGTTAAAAAGCTATAAGCGGGACTCCCATTACAGGAGTTTTGAACTTACACTTTTTAATGCTAAAATTGATAGTCTATCCATATATTTTAAGAAAATAGGTATGTCAAAGAAGATGTTAAGCCAAATATTGACCTGAAAGCTCAGAAAAAATAAAAAAATTCGAATTTTCTCTTTACAGTCCTCGTTGCCCCTTTAAAACTATAAAAATATGATAAACTAAAGTATAATGAATTAAAAACTTACCAATAATTATTTCACTGACCAAAACAGACATTATTACATTTCCGTATATGACACATGAACAGCTCGCGTTTTAAAGGTTGCAATGTGAAACTGCATTTTTCTTTATTGGGCTATTTCTTCTTATTTACGAGTTAAGGCTTAAAAAATCATTATTTTTGCATGAATTCCTAGATCATAACATTTTCTATAAAATGTGGTAAAGAATGCATCGTGTTGAAAGAGAACATGGCGTAATTATGTACGTCTGTTTTATCAGTTAATATTCAAAAGTGTTAATAGTTCAGTAATGAAAACAAATGGCCGTGAAATGTCTAGAGGGTCGCTTGATGATCGGGTTTTATTACTTCAAAAAGCAGTAAATAACACATAAAAAATTTGCAAGTCATTCATGCGAAATATTTAAAACTATATGATTGATGTGAATTACAGGGTGAGTTGAAAACCGTTGTACACAAACAATTTTGAAAATCTTTATTCATTCACATTTTAGCAACCTATTGATTATATTTTTTAATCACTTTGCACCCATCACTTATGGCAACGCAAACGTCTGAAAATATAAAACAAAATGTTTAAGACACCTCTCCAAATTCAATGGTTTTAAAAGAAAATAAATAAAAAGTAAAGATCGACGTAAAGATAAACATACCCTACAAAATCCTTCTACACACATTGATTTCTCCGTTGCTCCAATGTCACTATAGCTACAAGCAGTGCCATCTGGGAAAAATGCTGACCTGTGTGAACCAGCAGTTCCGCGCGTGACTCGACAATTTACGTCACATAGGTTGTCACCTGGAAAAAGAAAAGGCTACATATGGAATCCTATTATTGTCATGAAAACTTTCATTAAAAGTTTATTATATATCTGAAAGTTATTTTGGGCACCAAAAGTGAGGTGAGGTATGTGGTATTCTTGTGGTCTTCTTGCTTTTCAATCTTCTGACCTGTTACAATTGAGGGACTAAATTCAAGCATGAATTCACTTTAAGACACTATCAAAATGGGAACTTGCATTTGCAAACTTATGGAGGAGGTGTATACCTCCATATATATTTTGGGCATCTAAAGTGGAGTGAGGTATGTGGTATTCTTGTGATCTCCTTGCTTTTCAATTTCTGACCTGTTACAATTGAGTGACTAAATTCAAGCATGACTTCACTTTAAGACACTATCAAAATCAAAATGGGCACTTGCATTTGCAAACTTATGGAGGAGGTGTATACCTCCACATATAGGAACACCGCAATACTCCCATCTTCTACCAGGATCAGTAGTATAACACCATGGCCCACCTATCTCATTGTCAGGATTTCTAGAAATAGACGAACGAGTTATACTAATTCTTTGTGTATGGGAATCAAATTTGGGAGGTACATACAATACACCTATCAGGATCTGTTTCCTTATGAGCTCTTATGAAACAGAATTAACCCCAAATAAGTAGCAAACCGCACTGACCTACAAAAGTTTTCGGCAGCTGCTAAAGAGCCATCTGGCACCTGCCAGTCTCTTACTCGGTGTGTATGCGGCGTCTGCGAATCCCAACGCTGACACGGTCTACCTCCCACAGTCATACTAGTCTCACCCATGTAGAGTCTACCCATTGTGCCTGGCTTACAGTCTTCATCAACTTATATAAGCACAATACACTTTCCATATATATTAGTGATTTTTTAAAGCTTTGGTAATTAAAGAAGGAATACGTTTTATCAAAGTCATTGATTGTACAAGCTGCACGTGTACACATCATTATGAATAAAAAAGAAATATAGATATAGGCCCTTTCATTATATATTAATCTGGACATAGGTGGCATGAAGAAGCAAAGATATTTTACCCTCCCCCAGTCCTGCCCACTCTATGTCTCCCGTCAACACAGAGCTTGTAGTGTGGTTGAGGCATATTTGTCTTCCCAAATTACGTATCCCTTGCTCCACCGTCTCTATGTCTTGATCATCAGCATTACAATCCTTCAAGCAAAACGAGAGCACATAGTACATATACCTTAACTACAGGGTGTCCCGAAAGTATGCCCCCCCCCCTAGGCAGACTTATACCAATGTCTCCATAGTATGTGTCATATATCATTTTAGATCCTATCCAAAGTTACATTGATTTGCCAAGAAGTATCATGGTTCAACTCACAGACGGTAAAACGTTACAAGCATGTCAAAACTTCGTGTTTGGCCAAAAATATAGTTCATTTCAGTATCGTGGAAACAGCAATGACCTGAATGTGGCCGAAAATATGGGTGCTTTTGTCGAAGATAAGATGGCTATTGAGTTCTATAAGAGGACGTCGAGGGTAGATACTCCAAGGGAACTCTTCTAAAATGCCTTAAAAAGGTTTTAAGAGGATTACAAAACGCCACATCCCTATTTGAAGCGCGTATATATATATGAAAAGCATTGCTGATGTTTACATGGCCTAGGGAGACACACCGACTATTATTTTGGTGTTAAATTTACTTTAAATTTGGCCAAACACTAAATTTTGAAATCCCTGTAACTCTTTCAAATTTGTAAGTTGAACCATGATACTTGGCAAATCAATGTAACTTTGGATGAGCTTTAAAATGATGTATGACACATACTATGGAGACATTGATATATGTCTGCCTAGGGGGGGGGGGGGGGTATACCCTGTATATGTATGTAGGAGTTGAGCAGCGTGTGTGTGTGGAATATCTAAGCACGAGTGCCAAAGGGATAGAAATGTCTGTTGTGCTTTCTCTGGTGTGTTCGAGCTTTAACATCTGCTGCCTCTAGTCAGATCGACTAACAAAACAACCATTTTTTGGGGTTGTAGAGCGTGTCCTCGACCTGTAACATCGATTCTAAACATATGATCATTTAATGATCTAGAGACCATAATTGACCTTGAATTTTGACGCCCTATATGGGAGCCTGTCCCTACATTGGCAGAAGAGTCAGGGAATTTTGTTAACATACTATTGCCCCCAATAGTAAGTTGCCGTGAATTTTATTTCAGCCGATTGATTCTACTTCATCCCTGACTATTAACATTACATGGGGTTTACCTTAGCTTGTACAGTCATCATTGCGTATCACTTGGATACATTTGATGGAACAATGACAATTTAGTGTAGTAGGAAGGTATGGTCCCCATGCACCCGAAAGATGTATTTTTTTAATGTACATTTTTGTAATCCTAAAGGTCCATACTAAAGATTTTTGCATGTTCCTAGAATGAAATATTGTCTCATGGTATCCATTGGCGGCCATCTTGTCAGCCATCTTGAATTTTTGAAAGAGTTGGTGTTAATTATCTCAAAGTACAGTTTTGAGAATTGAAAGCTGTAAGTGGTACCAAAATGAAGCTTTTATAGTATCCTATATTATCAGATGCAATAATTATGCAAATTGCCTCATTTGCATAAAATGTGACATCATCAATCATAATTCTTGCCTCTTTACAACGGTATCGCATTATACCTTTCCGCCTGAGTGATCAGTCTTAGTCATTCATGAACATAAATGAATTTAAATATATAGGTACATTAATTTTGAACATATTTGCAATTGAAAGTTTTGGAAAAAACATTGTCAGACACATGATTATGTAACTGAAAAGGGGCGTGGCACTTCTTGCGAAAGAATTGATGTTAATCATTTCAAAGTACAGTAACTTCCACAGTTTTGAGAGTTGAAAGCTGTTAGTGGTACCAAACTGAAGCTATCACGATATCCTATATTATAAGATACAATAATTATGTTAATTACCATATTTGCATAAAATATGACATCATCAATCATTATTTTTGCCCTTTTTCAACGTAATGCCTTTTCCTCTGAGTGACCAGTCTTGGTCTCTTATGAATATAAAGATATTAAATGTATACATTCATTTTAAACATATTTGCAATTGAAAGTTTGAACCTACAGGGTGTCCCGAAAGTATGGGCCCCCCCCTAGGCAGACATATACCAGTGTCGTCATAGTATGTATCATATATCATTTTAAAGCTCACACAAAGTTACATTGATTCACCAAGTATCATGGTTCAACTCTCAAATGTGAAAAAATCACAGGCATTTCAAAATTTAGTGTTTGGTCAAAATGAAGTTCAATTTTACACCAAATCACTAGTCAATGTGTCCTTCCGGGCCATCGTAACAGCAGCAATTCTTTTCGGGTCAGATGGATATTGAGTTGGAAAAAGAGAATGGTGAGGGTAGAAACTCTAAGGAAACTCTTCTAAAGTGCCTTAACAGGTTTTAAGAGGGTTATAAAATTCCACACCCCTATTTGAAGGGCTTTTAAGGTCATATCTGAAAATAATTGGTGCTGTTAACATGGCCAAGGGGGGACTCATTGACTAGTAATGTGGAGTAAAATTGGACTTTATTTTGACAAAACACTAACTTTTAAAATGACTGTAACTTTTTCCCACTTGGGAGTTAAACCATGATACTTGGCACATCAATGTAACTTTGGATAAGCTTTAAAATGATATATGAGACATACTATGAGGACACTGGAATATGTCTGCCTAGGGGGGGGCCCCATACTTTCGGGACACCCTGTATTTGCATTGAAAGTTTTAGAAAAACATCATCAGAAATTAAGGTATGACCTTTCAAATGATTATTGTTCTGAAAAGGGGCGTGGCACTTGTTGAAAATCTGTAATGTTATTATATAGTCAATGTATCATTTGTAAAATACCCAGGGGTTCACTGAATACACAATTCTGTAGGGGTCCTAGGCTGAGCCCTCAGATATCATTATGTTCCCATACCAATCTGTCAAATTTCAATGTGTTCCCATACCAACCAAAATAATGCCCAAAAGCCATACCAAATATCCAAATATAAGACCAATGCTATATCAAATGTCCAAATATAGGACTTTTGCCATTTCAAATATCCCAAAAATATAAGACCAATGGAATGCAAAATGTCTAAAGCCCCTTGAAGAAGGCAGAACTTTTAGGAAATGATCCTAAACAACCTCAAATAAAGGACATTTGTTAAAACTAGACCAATCCCATACCACAAGTGAGAGGTGACCTATTCTCCATGACCATTCTTGTACCACAAAGTAGAAAAATCCGACCATTGTCATACCTCAAAAGTCATATTTTGGGGGGATTCTCATTCCAGATCCTAAACTTTGGATCCATTGCCATACCAAATGTTAAAAGAGGTACCCCCTTCAAGGTTTATATACAGTGAACCCCCCGGTGTAAAATATAGCTTTTGACTTTTAGAAAGTAGCCCAGTGATGTCCCTTATTCCTAGCTTGTTCAGAAATTCTTGTTGGTCAGTTTGGCAGACATCTAAATTTCAGCCAAAGATATATAAGCTGTATCGCTTTTGAACTAAGTACTGTACAGATACGAATGACCACATATCCCCATATCATTTTAGGATAGGCAATGAACTGAAATGGGTACCCACAGTATTTAGTTGTTAAAGCTATATAATTAACTCAATATGTATTAAGCCTGTACCTCAGTCCAATGTTTTATCCAAGACATCCGACTGGACTCTCAACTGACCTCTTCCAAAAACTCAGTGCTGATGTCAAAACACAGTAGGTGCGAGGACAAGGAGTGGAGGAAACATCTGTGAAACACCATTGTGTTGGGCCAAGTAGAAGACAGAAACTTCTCTTGGGAAGGAGAGATGAAGCCTGCAGTGTTAGTGGACGGCTTCATCACTGGCAAGAGAGCTCCAACAGATGCTTCTAAAGAGATTACTTCAACTTAGTCATCCAAAGATTCTTCTTCCAAAGATAGAAACACTCAGGAAAAGAGAAGCATAGGACCAGGAAGACATTCTTTAAAAATCTCTATAGGCTCACATCAAATTTGTTAGGGAACCAAAGAGTGCCCATATGGCATGCACGCAGGATCAATCAGAAGCAAATACTTTGGCAGCACACAGTGACCCAGATCGGTGATGCCATTGGGTAATTTTCCAATTGACATCCCACCAGATTTATCATCAAAACCGTTTGACAAGTCAGATTTCAAGCTTGATGAGGTAAGAACAATCATCAGGAAGGCTCAGCCTCAGGTCTAACAGGTGTGACATACAGGGTCTACAAGAACTGCCAAAAGCTGTTAATACATCTATGGCGATTGCTAACAAGCATTCAGAACAAAAAAATCTAGCAAGGAATTGGACTTTGGCGGAAAGGTACTTCATTCCAAAGGAGCTAAAATTTGAGCGACTGAACCAGTTCAGGTAGACATCATTATTTGATGCTGAGGGAAAGATCTTCTGGGCCATTATGGTCAAGCCTCGAAGTTGTTTCCTAGTGGCCTGCCAAGCATCCAGAAAAGTGGTCTCCCAAGACATCATGGGGTACATATAGCAGCATAAGCCAACTTGTGAAGGAAGCCAAGAAAGAGAATCAGTAGTTTGGCTGGACAGAAGGCCCACCTAGTGTCCCTCACCAACTGATACTAGAGGTACAAGTTCACTTTCACGTACATGTACCAAAACCAACAGATGTAGTCAATCTGACAATGGGAAACACAAACTCCTTGAAGTTGCACAATACATTTTGCAATTATACCACTAATTAGCAGAGTTCGGAGAAAGGCATAGTGGCAGACTGCCCTATATTAGTAGTTCTCTTCGTAACATCCATGAACTTACTGCTAAATGCAGGGATGATGCAGTGTAAGGTTCCACAAGCAAATGAAGGTGCAAAACACCTACCATACAGAGCTTTCATGGATGACATCACAGTTATGACCAGTTCAGTAGTGAGTACCAGATGGGTTCTATTAGCTATGTAAAGAATGGCAAACTGGACTTGCATGAAGTTAAAAGCCTACCAGGTCAAGAAGCATGGTTTTGGTCGATGTCAAGCTTTCTCCAATGCAGTTCAAAATAAAAGCAAGCAAATACCAACAGTGCATGATAAAAGAATCAAATGTCTAGAGAAGAACTATGACAAAACCTTGCGTGGTTTGAACAATACAGCTGAAGTCT